TGGCGGCGAGCACCCCGTAGCTTACCTAAGCCGAAAACTTTTACCCAGGGAAGTAAGCTACGCCGCCATTGAAAAGGAGTGCCTGGCTGTGGTGTGGGCCCTCAAGAAGTTGCAACCCTACTTATACGGGCAACCCTTCACTTTACTCACGGATCACAACCCGTTGGTGTGGCTGAACAGGGTGTCCGGAGACAATGCCAGGCTGCTGCGCTGGAGTTTGGCGCTGCAGCCTTTTGACTTTACTATCCACTACCGCCCTGGGAAGCAGAATGGCAACGCCGACGGGTTGTCTAGACAAACAGACTTGGAGCCGTGATTCGTGAGTACTCCTCCGGACATCCCCAAGCCGATCCGTTGGGATCAGACTGTGTATGCCGGCTTGGTTCTGGGGGAGCATTGTGGCAAACCTAGCCACTCGGACTATACCTGGACACTATGCCTTTAAGGGTTGCCTATAGGTCTGGAGAGAGATGCATTGTACCTGTATGTGCCTGTGTTATGTATTCCCTGCATTGCCTGTACTATCTGTTCCGCCGAATGCAAATGGCGGTTTGTATGGGGATTCCCGTTCGTTTCGCGAACGGCACTTTGGAGGGCCGTTCGTGAAACGAATGGATACCCCCTAATAGCCCACACACTTAGAGGCGTGTGGCGCTAGTTAACCGATTGCAACATTGTTGCAATCGGTTATTAGAGGCTCTCCTGGGTGGCCGTCGTTCGACTACCGACCATGCGGCGGGCGGCCATCTTGGATCCCTGGTTCGTCAGCGGGTCCGTGTCGTCGAACGCATAGCATTCCCAACAGTTATTCGACGGCACGAACACCGTTAAGCCTCCAGGACGTTCGGGAGTTTCAGGACCAGGTTCATTAAAGACAATCGGTTCTTTTCATGTGTTTTGAAAGAAAGGTGTTTTCTGTGCGGCGTTCGGTTATTTTAGCTGGGATCTGAGCGGCAATCTCACGAATGATGCGCCCAGACCCCAGCTATCTACCGAACGTCCATTCGTGTAAATCCACCGTATATTATACCAGTTGTAGATTTTTGTGTGAATTGCCGGTTCTGCTGCACGAGGGGATAATCCCCTTAACGGTGCATTCTGGGAGGATGATCCCTCTCGTGCAGCGGTGCCTGATGGGAGAAATATGTAGTACAGTAAGTCCCCATGTAGTCCCCTCCTGTACAACCCCTGTAATGTCTGTTTGGAAACCCCTTGCATGGGGAATTGCATAAATACTGTGACCTGTGATTAAAACCTCAGTTGACTCCCAGCCTATGTGTCGTCTAGTTCTTGGGAAGGAAGGGTTATTGCAGTGCTGTTTGGATTACTATATGCTGATTCCCTGGATTATCCTTTGTTGTTCCTGTTACCCAGCGGAGATATCGTGGATCATACTGCCTCTCCGCTACAATTATGAATGCTTTCCTATGAGACTGGCTGAATGCGCGCGCAGCTCCTGCCGCGCATGCGCATTCAGCCGAAGAGTAGGATCGGAGGCGGAGAGGAGGAGGAGAGCTCCCCGCCCGGCGCTGGAAAAAAGGTAAGTTTAACCCCTTTCCTTGCCATCCAGCCCGGCAGGAGGGGGTCCCTGAGGGTGGGGGCACCCTCAGGGCACTATAGTGCCAGGAAAACGAGTATGTTTTCCTGGCACTATAGTGGTCCTTTAAGGCAGTTACTGGCCTCCGTCATGCATGAACATATTGGATGTATGCATGCATACTATAGGCACCCGCATCTGTAAAAACAACATCACTGATCCAGATGTTTGAAGTTTGTATTAACCACAGCCCCCTGTCCACCATCACATAATGATTTATGACTTTATAAATGATAGCCTTAAACAAGTGTTACTGGCTCTGTTGTATACACGAAATACGGCCGCATAACAGATTTATACAGGAAAGTACAAAAAGAACACTAAAACTCCAAATGGCAAGTCTTGGTTTTTGGCCAAAGCATTGAAGGTATGAAGCTTTTATTCCGTCAGAAATCTGGTCGGCAGATTAATCCTGAATGCCATCGTCATGCATAAACCATGCAGTAATACTCACACATTGATTTGTTTACACGGAACATGTGGTCACTGATGGTTTACGGTTACATTTGAAGAGATCTCCTTGGGCTCAGCATTTATAATGGACTACTGTATGAACTCTATCACATGATGAAAGAGGGTCAGAGACCGAGTGATTGAGAGGGGGGCAGTAGCATGGATTAAAGAGGCTGTGGATTTGTAAAAAAGGGAACAAAGAGAGGTGTGTCTCACAGGATTTTAGGGTATAATGTTTTAAGCACATTATTCCTTTAAGGAGGTACTTTATGCAATTACTTTTTGGTCTGACCAGGAAAAAGAAAAAAAAGAAAGAACTGTGTTGTTGATGATTGCTACGTCAATATCTTTAATTCATAGAGAAAATCGCTTGCTTTTGGCTTTTGTTACACACACACACACACACACACAGCGCATCAAAATCCAATAAAATTAAAGGGACACTATAGTCACCTGAACAACTTTAGTTTAATGGAGCAGTTTTGGTGTATAGAACATGCCCCTCTAGCCTCACTGCTCAATCCTCTGCCATTTAGGAGTTAAATCCCTTTGTTTATGAACCCTACTCACACCTCCCTGCATGTGACGTGCACAGCCTTCCATAAACACTTCCTGTAAAGAGAGCCCTATTTAGGCTTTCTTTATTGCAAGTTCTGTTTAATTAAGATTTTCTTATCCTCTGCTATGTTAATAGCTTGCTAGACCCTGCAAGAGCCTCCTGTATGTGATTAAAGTTCAATTTAGAGATTGAGATACAATTATTTAAGCTAAATTACATCTGTTTGAAAGTGAAACCAGTTTTATTTTTCATGCAGGGTCTGTCAATCATAGCCAGGGGAGGTGTGGCTAGGGCTGCATAAACAGAAACAAAATGATTTAATTCCTAAATGACAGTGAATTGACCAGTGAAATTGCAGGGGAATGATCTATACACTAAAACTGCTTTATTTAGATAAAGTAATTTAGGTGACTATAGTGTTCCTTTAACATAATTATAGTTGAAATGATCAAGGAAAAAAAAATAACTATCACAAAAAGTGTTTTGTTTTTTGATTAACTTGCTCTCTCCAGGTTTTTTTCTTAGAACGATTATTAGGAATGCAATACAATAAAATAAAGAGTTTTTATCGTAAGGGGTTTGTGGTGGCTGTTCATTTAAAAGGAGATAAAGTCCCTGAAGTTTGTTTGTGTTAAGTGTGGAATTATTCCGGAGACCAGTGTGTAAGTTCAGGGCTGTGAAGTGGAGATTAAACATGGACCCAGAGGAACACGGTGAAGCAGTGATTGAGTGCGTAAAGTACTCAAGGTCTTTTATTATGAACACGTCTTCAAGAATGTATCAATCTGAACTGCAAACATATCAGATTTTTGTATTTGTATCTCTGCACCCTCAAAAGGGGAAGTGTTCACTCTAATTATCTTAGACTGTATGGTTTCAGAATTTCATAGCATTTTGTTCAATGTAGTCTACAACAATCAAAGGAAGTAACTGGAGTGGCACTCTAGGGTGTATTAACTAAATTCACAATCTTTTTATACAAGAAAATACTGTATTTGACCATCCATTTTTTAAATTTCTGCTGGTATGTGAACTTACTCAGATCTCTCAGCCAATTCATTCTTTCTCGTTCATTTTTATGGTGGAATTATGAAGAACGCGAGTGCGTGTAGGACATCGCATACTAACCTGCTTCACATTTAGTAGTTTTCCAAAGGACTGAGTAGAACAAGTGAACTTATAATGAATACAGTAATTCGTGGCCAATTGAGAAAAACAAAAAAACTGGAAGTTGGAGGCTTGTTCGGGCCACAACTTCAGATGAATAAGAAATTATTATTGTGGTATAAAGTTGGTAATTGGGAGGAAAGTAAGAGCAGGGATTTTATAGGTTTGAATATTGCATTACAGAACTCTTTCAGAAAATAACACACAGAATGTGACTTCAGATGATGGGAGCGCCAGTTCTCACATTTAATAAAACACTCCCAAGCACTAACCAACAGCACGGCCATCATTAGCAACTCATATTCTCATCCATGCTTATTCCAAAAAATTTTATAGTGCATTTAGTACAATAATATAATACATCACTGTATATTAACAAACACATTCTCCGTGGCCAGATTATCAGGTACACCAGCAAGTAATGGGGCACAAGCTCAATACATAAAGTTGCTCAGCCAAACATTAGACCAGGGGTGCCCAAAAGGTAGATCCCCAGATGTTTTTAAACTACAGCTTCCATGGTGCCAAAGGCATGCAAAGCTTCATGGGAGTTTTAGTTCTACAACATCGGGGGATCTACCTTTTTGAACACCATTACATTTAACAATGTGTCAACTCATGATACAAATGGGCTACATCAACCATGCATCAGGAAGATGAGGGGACAGTGTGCGTAATACTCATATGATCAACAAAACCTCACTACGGACACTTGGAAGTCTATTGACTGGTCAGGTGAAGGCTGATTTCTGCAGATGGTAAACTCAGAACTTTGTTTAATCTTGACGAAATCGGCCTGCCTCACATCACCTTTACTGACTTTCTTGACATACATTATACTATTTGAGATACTTTTGAGAGATACAGTATACAGAAACATTGTTGCTAACCATAGACATTCGCATTTACAGCCACAGCCTATCCATTTTCAATCAGATACTTTCAGTAGTAAAAATACCTCTTTACTACAAATGACTCATTTCAAGCAATTTCCAAGAATGTGACAATGACATCACTTTAATCCTATAACCTTTACAATGTCCTGATTGAAATCCAATTAAAGGATCTAAGATGAAATAGAAAGAAGTTCCCTGCGTGATTCTTCTGCTGAAAAAAAAAATCTACAAAAAAAGGGTGTAAAATATAGTCCTTGCACAATAACAAAGCCAAGATATGTATATTCTACAACAATTTTTATTTTACACACAGACACAGTGCATCTTACCTGATAATATGATTTGATTTGTTTCACCAGCACAGATAAATTTTGTATCCTGAGGGAAGCATCGTTGTTGATCTTTTTATAAATTCTCTGATTGTCTGCTTTAGGATTTCTGAAAAAATTAAAATAAAAAATATATATTCATTATGTTTGTGTGAGAAACCGCAATTTACAGTATGACGTTATTACTGGGAGGACACTAAAATAGAAAAAGAACCATCACTTGTGACATATTTGCAGTTCAGGGGAAACTACAACTCTGAAGCTTCAGTAGTCTTAGGTTGGCAAAGCATCATGGCAGTTTTACATTTTTAACAGCTGGGCCATCCATGCTGTGCAGCCATTTTGTCTCCTAGAATTTAAGAAGTGTTGCAAACTATTTTCCAATTCAACGTAGGAGGGGTGATTGCCCAAAACATCTAGGATAATAATTATAGATCATAATGCCACCTTCTGCTATTAACTGGTGTGTTAGCGCTATGTTTACAATCCCTTATACTACAACGGTGGTCAAAACTTTTTAAATTTAAATCTATTTATACCTTAGCCCAAGTTAATTTCTTACTGAAATTCTGATGGCTTGAAATAACTGCCCTACTACATGGAATGGAATAATCTATAAATACTAAACAAAACATTGTATTCTTCTGTCCTTATCAGATTTAGAAAATATATGTTGCTGAAAGACAATGGCCACATTTCAAAACAGAATAAGGTAAAGTTCAGGGGTGACTTCAATCTATCATAAAGTTGACAGGTAGCGCAAAAATATGTATATGAAAAACAAAATACAATAAAACTCGAGATATATAAATTTCAGCATAAAAAAAATGTTTAAAAGAAAAAACAAGTTCAAAGGGGCACAATTTACACCAGAACAACTACAGCTTACTGCACACTCTGCATGGAGGAGCTGAACTTTCCCCACAAAGAGGCATTGGGTCAATGCATCTCTATGAGGAGATTCTCACCGGCGCAACAGAGAAAGCATTGGATTGGGGGACCCGCACGGCACTGGAAAAACGTGAGTAAAATCACCTTTTTGACTTAATGTTTCTAACTTCAGCTCAATTAAGTGATCTGAGTGCACTGTCCCTGTCCCACTTAGTCCAGCAATGTAAAGCTCTGCAGTTTTTAAAAAAACGGCAATATTTACATGGCAGTACTAAGATAGCCTATAGTGGCAGTATACCAGAGCCACTAGGGGAGCTTCCTGGAGTTTACCGGAGTCTGAATCACTTAAATGATGCTGGACATCCTAACTCTGCATGAGCACATCCAGTGTCAGTGAAAACCCCATAGGAAAGCACTGAATCAATCCCAATGCTCTCGCCACGCATGAGCATTAGGTCCCCCCCCATTGGATGATGTCGGAGGAGGCGGAGCTCCAACCCGAGCACTGAGAGACATTGGCGCTGGAGTCAGGTGAATAAACAAAGGGGTTTTAACGCTTTCTGTGCTGGGGCTGAGGGGCAGAGGGCACAGTTAGGAATACAACTTTGTATTGCTAATATTATAGAATCCCTTTAAAGATCCACTTGGTTTCCAATTGTAATAATCTTTGTATTCTATTTGCCCTAGAGCCCAGTTCACAATTCCATCAATAATCATAACCTGTAAGCTATCCGGATTAGCATTATGGATTTGTCGAACGAGTTAACATTAAGGGGCTTCGTAAAAGTAACTAGAAATCTCAGGCAACAAAAGTTCCTCCAATTATATAAACCAATACTTCTTTAATATACCAATCATAATAATAAAAACTGGTTCAGGGGTGAAGCTCAGCTAATGCTGAAGGGTGAATGAGTCATAGTTCACAGAAAGCACAGCTTTACTGAAAAGGTGGCCAGTGTAGTCAGGAGTTCGCTTAAAGGGACACTCCATGCACCCAGACCACTTCTGTCCATTGGAGTGGTCTGGGTGCAAACTCCCATCAATAATTATCTTGCAGGGTTAAGTCCCCCTCTAGGGTCGGTCTATCAGACGCCACTAGAGGGACTTCCGTGTTCTTAAAACACAAAAAGTGTTTTAAACGACGCTGGATGTCGTCACGCTATGCATGCGCATTAGGTCTCCCTCGCCGGCTGACGTCGGCAGGGGAGGAGCGTGGGCAGAGCCTGGCCCTGCACCGAGGGACATCGGCGCTGGGTTCAGGTAAGTCACCGAAGGGGTTTTAACCCCTTCAGCGACATGGAATGAGGGTGGGAGGGAGGGGGCACTGCAGTGCCAGGAGAACGTATTTTTTTTTCCTGGCACTGGATAGTCCCTTTAAAGAGAAGTAATTATGAAAAATGAGAATTTGTAGGTTCTGATCATAGAACAATGCCACCCAATCTGTCAATACATTCACATTTTCACATTAACACTTCTATGGTAGTTCTTTTATTTATTCTAAATTTATGCTTTGAAACTGAAGTCCAAATAAGTCATTTACCTGCTTACCAAGGACACTTAATTGTTTAAAAGGGGAACCAAAGCTTTTCAGGAAATTATACCATTGAATAAAATACTTGTGTTAAGTGTTCTTTATAGTCAGGGTTGGCTAGAGGATCCTCAGCAAGGTGAGAGGCAGCGACCTGACAAAAGCAAAGACAGAGGGATAGGAAGAGGTTTATTACGGGACCTTTGGCTGCCCAGGTTAACATAAAACAGGAACTAGGAAGTAACAAAATTAAAATAAATGAAAAGACTACAGGCCAGGAGAGGGGGAAAAAAATAAACACACAACACCAGACACAGACAGGGGTCAGGAGCACAGAGATATACAATGTCAGGAACAAGCCAGGGACTGGAACACAGGACGGGAAGTCAGACAGGCCAGGAACTGGTACACAAAAACAGGCAGAAGGGAAGCAGGACAGGAGAGCAGAACATAGTTGGGTAATCCAAGGAAAAAGATAAACGAAACAGGATCAGAGCAAAATATCACTAAGGATAAAGGAGACATGAAAGGGCCCAGGGCTTAAATAGAGAGGCCCTGTACCTGACTGGCTCCTGCTTGCTGGTAGCAATCAAGGCAGAAAGGAAGCACCCGATTACTACGCTACAAAAACTAGCAATCAGAAAAATCAGGTGGGTCAAAAACCTGACAATGGTCTGGAATCGCATGAGGATATCAGGTTCCATAGTGTTCCAGCAAGCAGTGCAAAGCAATAGAATGTTGGAACCAGGAAGTCTAGTCCCACCAGAGGTAGGCTTCCTGACATTTATGTAATGCTTCATATTCTTATATAAAATTATATAAAAGAGATTTAGAAAATGACATCAAAATCCATTTCAGTCTTGGCACTGCAAGGACACTCTCAGCATTGGAGAATCGTTTCCCTGTCTGTTCTGACTGCCAGGTGCACAATTGATAAAAAACTGACCAGAAGAAAGCCAAGATGTAAACACTAGAACAGAGCAGCAATGTGGATTTTTGCATTTAATTGTATTTGCTACGCCACACAACTATATGTGTTAAACTTAGGGGATACGTTAACATAATATTGAAAATTGTGGGAAGTGACCCACTTTGATATTGTTTGTCTGTTACCTAAACTAACTGGATTATTCCTCTCTCTGTATTGTCAATATTGCAACTTGTAACACACGGGTGTGCTATTAAAGGGACACTTCAGCTCACTGAAGTTGTCTGGGTGCTGTGTCCCTATTGCACTTAATGCTGTAATGTAAAACACTGCAGTTCCAGAGAGAAACTGGAATGTTTAGATTACAGGACTAAGTCAACCCTCATTAGAGGTCTACCAGACAGCCACTAGAGGGTTTCCAGAATTGGGGCTGCAAGAGAGGGGGGCACCTTTTAAACCTATATTGCCAGGAAAATGGTGCAGGCACTATAGGATCCCTTTAAGTATCCCTCATTTTTTTTCCAGAGGGCTGGGAATCTAAGGGTTCTGCTCAAGTATTTTAGCTGTTCCTAGAACTGCACTTTTCTGGACCGTAGAATCAGGAATCTGTTGACTCCACACAGCCCTGAGTAGAACTATTGGACTTGGAACTGGAAAGGTCACCAGGTGTGAATCCTGGTCAGTCCATGCCACAAGTACGTGTCCCTAGACACCTAACAAAATATATGATCGCCTACCTCAGATACATGGGAGTAACAAGAACCAAGAGCACACTGCCTGGGATGACAAGGTCTTCAAGTGCTAGGAAACTGGGACAGGCTGCTTACAAGTGGGCTACTGGAGAAAAGCATTCATATAAACACACACTATAATTAATATATATATATATATATATATATATATATATATATTATTCATGTATAGGTGTATAAAATGCTACAAGAGAAACACATCCCCTTGGCATCATGTGCAGTTAAAATGTATTTGTTAGATAGAGGATATAAAAAAAAAAAAAAATCATATAGAGCAGCCTCATCATGACAATTATTAACCATAAAATAGGAAATAATGGCAAGTATTATTCCAGGTTCAGCCAAGGTTTGCTGGCACTGTTCCAGCATTTGGATAGGTTTCATGAATATCTATGACACAAATACAACCCTAACATGGGCTTTAATGAGGTTAGGGTGTAATAACACGTCCTGATGTCGGTGAAGTGCCCCACGAATTACACTTACCTCGCTGGATCTGGGGGGACAGCCTCACTCATTCAATATAAGATCATTTACTGTAACTAAACCCCCATTATTTTTGCATCGGTTAGGTGTTTAAACAAGAAAACCAAAAAAAAAATAAAAAAAATAATTTTGTGAGCTTTGAAATTGCTATTTGGTGAATGACTTAGTGTGCTGGGTGTTGTGTGAATTGGGCCCAGCACCACCCTTATAATGTATTCATGTTCAGGTGAATGCAGTCCTCTTGGTTATATAGATTAAATATAAATATTTGATTTGAAATAAAAGCTGGAACAAAATGATCTATAACAAGTGTGGGTGTACTTCATATGAAAGATGTAAATTATAGCTCAAATTCTAGGTTTTGTTTTGGTTCAGAACTTGGGCTATTGCCTCTGTCCTTAAGGGGATAAATGTCAGGATCTGCTAAATCCTAAGGTTTTCTCTCGAGCTATTATAATTATTAATAGTATTTATAGTGGTTTATAACGTGCCAACATATCCCGTACTGCTGTGCGATAGGTGAACTAATGAAGAAATGCAACAAGCTGGATTTTAACGAACACTAAGATAAGCACAGTTACAGGTGCAGTTAATTACAAACTGGAAACTTTGCCAAACTAGTTATGTAAAAAGCTAGTGATCGGGAAATGTGATAAATTAAGGATAAAAGAATTCAGGTTTCCTTGACCCATACAGTCATTGTAAATGCAGCTGTGGATTGAAAGCAGTAGGTATAACTCATTTTAAAGGGATCCTATAGTGCCGCCGGGGGAAATCCAATGCGCATGTGCAGAAATGGCCGCGTGCGCATTAGAACTTAGCTGAAGTAGTCTGGGTGCCTACAGTGTCCCCTTAAGTTCATTTTTAGTATGATTTTGCTGCATAAATAAATTACTTTTTTTTTTTAACCCTTTCCCGACTCATCACATCATCAGTATCTATGGTAAATACTTATATTTGCAAAAAAACGTCTCAGGGAGCTCAGGTCTGGAATCCTAAATCGTAAAGAACAATGCCTGAATTTAAAACCAGCAACTGCATCTCGATGGGAAAAGAGATACACAAGGAGTCCAAATTATGGTCCTGTTTACATTTTTACTGAGCAATTCAAATCATCGGTTACCATCCAGGTACGTAAAAGGAACACATGCCAATACACACATTTCAATTCTAGGAAAGACTTAGCTCATCTTGAATAAAATGTGTTGAGTGTGCTATTTCCATAATGAAAGGGTGAACAGATGGTTTGACTGATTTATTCAGGAAAGTTTAAAAAAACTAAATTAAATTAAAAAAATTACCAAATATTTAAGATATGGTGGTTGGTGCAGCTGGTGAATATACTAGTGCAGTTAAATGAATGTCAATGTTTTGTGGTGTAAATATTTTATTCCGTTTAAGATGCTTAAAGTATAAAACTCTTTTTACACTGGTCTTAAAGTCAACCTCACCATGTTCCAAGTTTGTAATTCTCAGCCTTTCAGTCGATTTTTATATAAAACTTTCTGTGGTGTGTTTGTGGAAATCATACCAGTAAATGTTGAAATGCCTTATTGTAGACTGTGTAAAGAAAGCTGAATTGGAAACACATCTGACAAACACAGCCCATGGCAGTTCCCATCAATAGTCTGTATTATGACAAACATATTAAATTGGGAAGAATGGTGGGATCAGCAAAATAATCTTATCTTATTCTGTCCTTTTTTATCTTTCGTCTTAACCCCAATCTATGCAGTGTTCTTCGGGTATGTGGAGACAACCAGCAGGTCTTCAGCTGGTAAATATTATCCCAACTGTTTATTACAAAGTGCAGCAAAATGAACATTCATAACACCGGATGCTACATTCTGAAATCTTGCAATCGGTCTGCCACAGAAGTATATGATTTATGAGCGTCTAGGTAAAAAGGGAATTGGGGTGCACACCCAGAACATGCAGACGTTTGGCTGTATATACAAAACTGATTTATTGTATTTTATTGTGTGTGCACGGTTTCTTATTTTTTTAGGTGCCAGTTTGGACATGACCAAAGGAAAGCAGTAGCACATATTTGAAATAAGTCTCTGGAAGCAGTTTAAGCAATAATTATTGCAGCTAGCATGTTTGTGTCCCGTATTAAATTATCATAGAACCTATCGAAATTGTGGACCTGCGATCTAGTAGTGGACTTAAAGGGACAATGTAGGCACCCAGACCACTTCAGATCATTGAAGAGGTCTGGGTGCAGTGTTCCAAATCCTTTAACCCACAGTGGTAATTATTGTAGTTTCTGAGAAACTGCAATTACCTGCTAGGGTTAACTCCTACTCTAGTAGCGGTCTACCAGACAGCCACTAGAGGGACTTCCGGGTGTTTAGACGACTTTTGGTTGCTCACCGGAATCCCCCTAGGAAAGCATTCATTCCTTATGGGGAAATCATAATGCTAGCGCTGCCATTGCAGTGCATGTGCATTAGGTGGATGGAGCCTGACCCAGCGCTGTGGGACATCAGCGCTGGATTCAGATTAGTGACTGACGGGGTTTCAATCCCTTTAGCGATGCAGGAGGGGGCGCAAGTGAGGGGGGCACTGTAGCACCCTATAGTGCCAGGCAACCAAAAGAATGAACTTGAATGTGCGGAATAACCGTTTCACACAGTTTGTCTTCATCATTCTGTGTGTAGCTTTTGGAGCAATCACAATGTTATGAAGATTTGGATCCATTTCATGACAAAAACACACAAAAGCGAAGCAAAGGCCATGCATTGTGCTATGCTGTAGGTCTTTTCTGACGTTTTTTGTTTAGCCCACTTGGTTACCCAAGTACCATTTTGGAAGGGAAGGAATTTGCGAAGCTATTATTCTGAGGGGGAAAACAAAATAAAATATCTCAACCTCTTCTTAATGTCAATGCAGTTACACAGTGTCATTAACGACTAAAAAAAATAAAATACCAAAAAACACCTATAAAACAAGGGCAGCACAATGAAAAATTTAAGACTTGCAATCTGCGTAGCAGAGACAACTAATAAAAAGAGGTGCATTTAACTAAATTCTAGATACCAAGAATGTCTTAGTTACAGCAAATGGCAGTAATAATAGAGTCATTATTTGGGGGTCAGGGGGACGGGAAAGGGAGTGTGAAGCCATTTGTATTGTGTTCGATTTTAGAATACTTTGATGCTGAATAATATCCCACATGTACCGTCCGCTGGTGTGAATACAAGCAGTGCTTCCAGAAAACAATGTACTGAAAGATTTTCCTTTACTTTTTAATTTAATTCTATACCCCAGTCACACGACTCCCAGTTGCCAAATAAGGTTTTGACAGCTGGAAGAGCTTACAGCGCAGACATAAATGGAATAAGAAGAGACTCAGACAATACTGTGAGGATATCATTTTCCTGGAGTGAGGATTCCATTATAACACTTAAACTTTTACACTTCGTTTCGGACATTCTCAACGGGTATCACAGATTTTTTTTTAACTTTTTATTACGGATGTGTTTTTATCCATTTGAGAATACCATATTTAAAATATATATACATACACACACACACACACAAATAAAGTGGAAGAAAAACATAGAAACAGACCAATCTAATGCAGTTACTTTAGAATCACTCAACTATTTCCTTTAAACACTTGATACATTAAACAGGAACTGTCATTTCCCTGGACTTTTAACACTATGGTTACATATATAACAGATATGTATTTGTGAGGTGTCAAATGTAAAATTAAAGGGACACTATAGTCACCAGAGCAACCAAAGCTTATTAAATTTGTTCTGGTGAGTAGAATCATTCCCTTCAGGCTTTTTGCTGTAAACGCTGTCTTTTCAGAGAAAATTCAGTGTTTACATTACAGCCTACGGATACCTCCACAGTCAACTCCTTAGATGGCTGCTAGAGGTGCTTCCTGGGGCAGTGCTGCACAATGTGACTGACACTGAACTTTCCTCATAGAGATGCATTGATCCATGAGGAGATGTGGATTGGCCAGAGCTGTGTTTGACTTGTGCTGGCTCTGCCCCTGACCTGCCTCCTTGACAGTCTCAGCCAGTCCTATGCTTTCATATGGGAAAGCATTATGATTGGCTCAGACCTCTGTTTCTGATTATGTCAGCCAAGCAAGCAGACCAGGAGCAGAGCTAGCAGCAGTAGTCTGGAAATAAGGTAAGGTTTTGCTATACTTAGGGGGGCAAGTAGGGTCTGGATGGTGGTTTTAACTCTATATGGTTAGGAAAACATGTTTCTGTCCCTGACCCTAAAGTTTTCCTTTAAATCTAGAAATCTAAACCTCTTTATCCTGCAATCGGGCGCCTCCATCTTGGCTCCCTTTTAATCATAATTATAAGCTCTGTCCTTTGCACCTGGCAGTCAACATAGAGAAAGTATACAGAGACACAATGTTCCTCCTCCTTATTTATTTTATGTGCCCTGATTGACCTGGAGTGAACTATTTAAATATTTAAAGGGACACTATAGTCACCAAAACAACTACAGCTTAATGTAGTTGTTCTGGTGAGTAGAATTATTGCCTTTAGGCATTTTCATGCAAACACTGCCCTTTCAGAGAAAAAGCAGTGTTTACATTGCCCCTAGGGACACCTCCAAGTGGCCACTCCTGCTTTCTGGCTCAGTGCTGCATAGTAGGCAGCTCTGACGTTCAGCAGCCCCTGAATTTTCCTCATAGAGATGCATTGATGCAATGCATCTCTATGAGAAGGTGTTGATTAGCCAAAACGGTGTTGGGCCCCACCCCCTTGCCAATTTTAGCCAATCCAATGCTTTTCCCGTGGGAAAGCATTGCATTGGCTAAAAAGCAGCAATTCTGATGATGTCACCAAGGGGACGGGGCCAATGCCGGCAGACCCGCATGGCGCTGGCAAGAAGGTGAGTTTTTTATGCTTAAAGGGGGACAAGCCACCTTAATGGTGGGTTTTGCACTATAGGGCCAAGAATACCAGAGAGTATCACATAATAAAAAGGTTAACCTAGGTTACAGGTGGCTTTCTATTTCTTATTCAATAATGTAATTGACATTCCATTGATCTCACTCTAAGAACCAGAACAATTTTGTATGATGGCAAAGGTCCAGATGCCAAGAGTACCGAGATTCCTATATTTCACTCATGATAGCGTACATCTGTAGAGATTTTAAATAATTACACTTCTAAATACCTGCCCCGTGAAACAGCAATCTTATAATGAGGACGTTTTGCTTCTCCCTTCCAAGGGCCAGATCTGGTCCTTGTTTAACGGCAAAAACTCTGGGAACTTTAAAAATGGCAATTCATTTAATTTTTATTTCATTTGCATATTTTTGTTTTTTGCAGAAAATATGGGGAATGACCCTTTTTAAATGTGTCTTTATAAATCGGCACTGTGGACCACATCACAAGCAGTATCATTTCAACATTTTATACATAAAATCAATGGTTTTGTGTCTTCGTATGTTCTTATAACAATATAAGGATTTGATTGCTTAGCAATACCCTGACACTATATTATCATTGGCTAAGCTTAGGCACAGAGCTCTTGTTTTTCTGCCTCCTGTCCCTTCTTCTTTGTTTGATTGTTACATCAGAGGTTGAAGGACTGGATGGTGCTTGAACGAGACGTCTAAAAAAAACCCACAACTTCTGGGTCTGGGAGAATCAGGACCAGACAGTGATCTGATGGTGTAACTGGATCATTGCTCTAGGAGTGACTGCCAAATGTCTGTTGGAGTTGACATATAGCTTTAAGGACGGGTTACATTCATGTTTATTTATACTATATTGCATTCAGAACATGCTGCGATCATTTCTCTACCCCATAAGTTAAAATCTTCAGAGGGCCAAGATTCTGGATTTTATGCTTGGAATGGGAACTAGGACTTGCGACCAACAATTCAACTTAAAATAAATTTTTTATCTTGAATCAATAATAACTTTATTTTCCTACTAGTGTGGCCAGGATAAAATCAGCTTGTTGATCATATGAAATCCTAACTTTTCGCTGTTCCAACTTTTAACTTTCTCTTCACAGGACAGATCGGAGTATTTTTTTAATTAAAATCAGCAGCTGCACTCTGCATTTTTTTTGTTCAGCATCTCAATAGCTTCTTCCTTTAATAAAGTATATTCGCCCCCAACTATAGAAAAGTCCATATAGTCATCCATCTTTTTCAAGTGTGCTAACTCAATCTACTGATAATTTAATAACCTGGGTTTAAAAAAAAAAAATATAACAATCTTTAACCCATTGGCCAAAATGTTTCAGACAAACAAACGTTCACTCTTCATTCTGATACTTCTAGAATATAAAATAACACCAGTAATATAAAAACTCCATACATTATAAAGTCTGGAAATAGATATATAGACAAGGGAAAAAAAACACACCAAAACTCTAAAAAATAAAAAAATTCCTGTTTGATTAGACACCTAATAACTCCTCTAATTCAGGCTTCCCCAAACTCCGGCCCTCCAGATGTTGCTGAACTACAACTCCCATGATTCTATGAATGAAATAGATAGGCTGAGAATCATGGGAGTTGTAGTTCAGCAACATCTGAAGGGCCGAAGTTTGGGGAAGCCTGAATTAGAGGAGTTATTAGGTGTCTAATCAAACAGGAATTTTTTTTATTAAAAAAAAAAAAAAAAAAATGTCTAATAGGTAGACATTCAGCCACATTACATACACCTGTTTCAGAACAAGGGTTAATAAACAAGATTGGAAAGACTTATGCCTGCTGATAAATCCCATGGTGCAGCCTTAAGGGAGGTTATATGGAAAGGTTTGTGAGCCAGGAATTGTCAGATAAAAGTCTTTTTTTGTTATAAATACTAGGTACCTCAGCATGTTGCACTAGTTACACGCGGCTATGAACAGTCTCTTTTGTGAGATGGAAAAATTAAAATGCCTCACTGGCAGATAGCCTACTAAAATAGGCCAAAGCCATCTCGAAGTCAATAGGCAGGACAGCAGTAAAACATAGCCTTGAGCCATTTCACATTTAAAAGCAACCTACTTATGGCAAGATGCATCAATTTCAAATGAGACTAAACAGACAAAATATCCACTATAGAGGAAACGCACACAAAAGACAAACGTGAAATATAAATTGCTACTGAAATACTAAACACTAATTTTAGATACTTAAGCCGAGGACCCCATGTGGTCAGGAATAATGTACATTTAGTAACCTATTGACCAAAACCCCTCAAATAGAAATTTGATAACTTAATGGCTTCATCCTTGAGCCTAAACAGACTGTATACCAGGTTGTGTCTTATTTCTTGCCATCTGCCTACAGATAATACTTCACAATTAGAGAGGCATCACTTTTGTCTAAGACCATATTAACCTAATACAATAATGCACTCTTGTGTTTATGGAATACATTCTGCAATCAGGGTTATTCCATAAAGTGTGAAATCTCAGGAATTGCAAATAGAATTAAAAGGGAATTTAATTTTTTTTTGTCCAAACAGTCGAAAGGGAAATTTATAAGTATAGCATATCAACCATGCAAACACGGTTCTAAATAAATTTAACATTAGAAATATCGGCGAGATTTATCAAAGTGCTGAAATATGTTTTTTTTTTTTTTTAAGTCAACTAATTTATTTGTATTTATTATATTGTTCTTTAGATTGGTTAAAAAAGGGTCTCCTTTTTTCTAAGTTGAGAAGAAAAATAAAATAAAGTGAATAAGAACATTTTCTGGTGGTAAAAGTGATGGGAAAAAAAGGATACATCCGTTGTATTGCTGGAAAAAAAAAATTGGTGTACATTAAAAAAAAAAAAAATTATAGATGAAAAAAACAGATTTAAGCAATTGAGCAAAAAAAAAAAAAAAACAATATTGCCAAACACACAAATAACATCCTCAACACTGATAAATATCCCTGTTTGTTTGAACGTGTATGACTTGTTTTCGCTTAAATCCCCAAATCCATACCCAATGCCAGATTGTTTCCAGTTCAATAATTTTATCATGTCAGATTAATTCTCGTCTGAAGTCAGGTGGCCAAAGATAGTGCAGTGATGGGCTGAGTGTTCGTCGTCTGAGCAACAGAGAAAGCTGAAAATGTTTGTGTTTATTTTATGTTTTTGCAACCACTGATGTCAGAATAAATTAATCGATCTGCTTAATGCTCTGTCTGCAGATTAGGTCTAGTGTAGGAAGTAGATGCCATTAAAAGCACTGGAGAGATAGTTTTTTTTATTTCCTGGAAGAAATCACAGTAAATAATGTTGACATTTAAATCTATGCTGATGTCCCGATCGTATTATTATGGCCTTTATAATGTATCCTGTGTAAAGACGCAGGGCAGAATAGATGGGTTGCCACATTTTGGCAAGTAGGCAAAAACCAAAAGCTTTTTTTTTTTAATGTATTTAAAAAAAAAAAAAAACAGTTCCTGGGAAATATCCCATGGAGCCAGACAAGGCCACTGAATACGCAGAACACCAACCCAATCACAAACCCACACAGTGCTGGGCTACCAAACACTCTGAAAATTCCTGCCGGTTGTCTTTAAACTTTTCTGATTTAACCGTTTAAGTGCCCGTATTCTGCTCAACATGAGTTCAAAGAGTTAAAGTCTGGTATGTGGCAGTAGAACAGTCGATTAACGGCACTGGTGCTCACAAGGACTGAGGTGACTGTATCATAACATGATGATTATTTAGTTCAGTCAAGTGCTAGAAGGCTAGTCAGGATTCCGAAGAAAATGAATGGTACAATGTAACACCACATGCTGGAAGTAAACTGGTTTAAATTAATTTTATGTAGTACTGAAGTTAAGACGACGATAGTGTGGCTGAGAGAGAATGTATGTTATGTAGTAAGTTCAAGAATGCGGCTTATGGATATCCCAAAGGGGCAAAATAACCATAAAGATTCTTTTTAACCAGGGATGAAGAATATCAGTTCTAGGAGTGATTGAATGAGCTAGGAAGCCATTTTTTTTCACCCCAGACTAATGCAGATATAATGAAGCTTTTATACATAAATCTATTCCCACAAAGATCCAATGCCTGGTGGTAGGCAAACATTGTCACAATATTTGACTATGAAGTAGAGAAAAGAAAAAACACTTAAAATATTTGTGTGGCCAGTTGATTACTGTACATAAAAGATACCATGGACTATCACACCGATTCCAATATTAACACAGAATTGCACGCTTTCCAACGGCCTGAAATTCATCTACTCTTGACTTTGTCAAGCCGTCCCAGGCCACTATATAGTGTCCAGGTTTAGAAAGCGCCGATCATCATTTACCACTGCCGCTATGGCCTGCCCAGTCTTGTCACAATTACATATCTCACAATCGTAAGGTATCGTGTTCAGGGCAGGTCTCTTGGAGAACCACTGATCACGTAAGGGATATTTATTTATCCATCAGGCAGCTTTCATGAACGCAGGACAAAAAACCCTCAACATTTCAGCAGCGTGCATCTGCCATTGTAAAGGGGTACATCCTTTAAACCCCTTTGCAATTATTTCAATGCACATTTTATCCAACATATTGGATGATGGAACCGAAGACACCACTGGCATAGCTTAAACTGGTAATATGGGGTCCATAAATTGTATTTATTAATAAGATCTAGAGGTGGGGGTTGGATACCAAGAAGAATATTGACAATCCTTTAATATTCTATAGTTGAGTATTCTATTATGAACTCAGGACAGGATACAGCAGTTAAATATTTAACATACCAGATGCTTTTATAGCAGAACTGCATGTAACAGCCCATCAATGGTTTGAATGAGCTAGGAAGCCATTTTTTTTCACCCCAGACTAATGCAGATATAATGAAGCTTTTATACATAAATCTATTCCCACAAAGATCCAATGCCTGGTGGTAGGCAAACATTGTCACAATATTTGACTATGAAGTAGAGAAAAGAAAAAACACTTAAAATATTTGTGTGGCCAGTTGATTACTGTACATAAAAGATACCATGGACTATCACACCGATTCCAATATTAACACAGAATTGCACGCTTTCCAACGGCCTGAAATTCATCTACTCTTGACTTTGTCAAGCCGTCCCAGGCCACTATATAGTGTCCAGGTTTAGAAAGCGCCGATCATCATTTACCACTGCCGCTATGGCCTGCCCAGTCTTGTCACAATTACATATCTCACAATCGTAAGGTATCGTGTTCAGGGCAGGTCTCTTGGAGAACCACTGATCACGTAAGGGATATTTATTTATCCATCAGGCAGCTTTCATGAACGCAGGACAAAAAACCCTCAACATTTCAGCAGCGTGCATCTGCCATTGTAAAGGGGTACATCCTTTAAACCCCTTTGCAATTATTTCAATGCACATTTTATCCAACATATTGGATGATGGAACCGAAGACACCACTGGCATAGCTTAAACTGGTAATATGGGGTCCATAAATTGTATTTATTAATAAGATCTAGAGGTGGGGGTTGGATACCAAGAAGAATATTGACAATCCTTTAATATTCTATAGTTGAGTATTCTATTATGAACTCAGGACAGGATACAGCAGTTAAATATTTAACATACCAGATGCTTTTATAGCAGAACTGCATGTAACAGCCCATCAATGGTTTCTGCTCTGACTGCAAAGTAATCAAACAATATTGGCTACCGGGAAATGTGTTTACCAGTAATTTTACTGGCACATTTTTCTGGCCACAAGAATGAACTTTGAGATCTGAATGCCCAAGGATACTTTCTTCTTGACCACCGCATCCCAACACTTAAATTGTTTTCACATTTACTTTAAGCAGATTCAAATATCCTGGATTATCAAAGCAATCTTCTGAAATGTCAGCCGTTTTATGTGTTCAGTTGCATAAAGTGGTCTTAAATTCCGCTTAGACAATAAAAAGTGTGCAGCTATGCTAGGCACTTAACTTTAGCTACAGAACTTTCCTGGAGTTACAAAGCTTAAAAGCCACGCAATTCTTAATGGACTCTACAACAATATAATATACAATGACAGGAAGGTTTTATTAAAGGATCACTATAGGGTCATAAACACAAACATGCATTCCTGACCCTATAGTGTTAAAACCACCATCTAGCCCCCCTGGGCCACTCATGCCTCCATAAATATAGCAAAATTTTACAGTATTGAAGCCTGAAGCTATAACAGAAAAACAAGCAGTCTGCTGACATCATCAGAAGTGGTAGCCTGGTCCAATCATAGTGCTTCCCCATAGGATTGGCTTAGACTGACAAGGAGGCAGATCGGGGCAGAGCCAGCAAGATTAAAACACAGCCCTGGCCAATCAGCATCTCCTCATAGAGATGAATTAAATCAATGAATCTCTATGAGGAAAGTTCAGTGTCTGCCTGCAGAGGGAGGAGATACTGAATGTTTGGATGCATTTTAGGCAGCCATGACCCAGGAAGGATCTCTAACAGCCATCTAAGGAGTGGCCAGTGAAGTTATCACTAGGCTGTAATGTAAACACTGCATTTTCTCTGAAAAAGACAGTGTTTACAGCAAAAAGCCTGAAGGTAATGATTCTACTCACCAGAACAAATGCAATAAGCTGTAATTGTTCTGGTGACTATTGTGTCCCTTTAAAGGTTTTCAGGAAAATCACAAACACAGGGTTGTAGTCCTCTTCTCAATGCAACACTTATAGCCTGCTAATAATGCTACACTTATTGTTGAAGAACGAAAATACAGATTTCTGTATTCGTTTTTAAATGAAATATTTTATTGGTTTTATTTTAAGTTAAAGGGACACTCTAGACACCAGGTGTATCTCTAAATACAAGATTTATACCTAAATACCCACGGACAATTAATTTTTTAATTTTTTATTTATTTTATTTTATTTAAAAGGTCACTAAAGTCACCATAACCACTACAGTTTAATGTAGTGATTCTGGTGTTAATAGCATAGCATGTCAGAGAAAAGGCAGTGTTTACATTGATGGCTAGTAACACCTCTTGTGGCAGTCACTCAGATGGCCGCTAGAGGTGCTTCCTAGTCCAGTGCTGCACAGTGTGCAGCACTGGCATTCAGCATCTACACATTGATTCAATGCATCTCTATGAAGAGATGCTGATTGATGTGGATTGCACAATAGCCTTCCAATGCTTTCCTATAGAAATGCATTGGATTGGCTGAGATCAAGTTTGATAATCTTAGCCACAAAGTCAGCCATGGCAAGACCAGTGTGGCGTGGGAAAAAAGGAGAGTTTAAGCACCTTTTCACTACACAGAGAAGGGTGACGTGGCCTAAACTGCCATACCAGCACTAGAGAGTCAGGAATAAAGGTTTGTATTCCTGACACTATAGTCTTCTGTTTCAAATAGTATATAATGGAGCCTCTATGACCTGAGTGACCGATCCTTCGTTTTTGTGAATTATATCTACACTATAATATTTCCTTCTCTTGTTTTTATATATGTACTGCTTTGGACACCTTCCTATCACATTGTGTGTCAATACTTTTTGTGCGATTACAAATATTTGCGTGTAATTTTAAAGGCACAGCACATCTTAACTTTTATTTATTTATAAGTGAGTGCTTTTTGGTACTTTGCACTTAGTAAGGATGCTGCTATTTTCATTTATAATACTTAAAAAAGAACCATCTATTGACTCTTGCAGTTTATCACCAGAGTGCAAGTCTATCTTTCTGTCTGTATGGGTACAGGACAGAGAGGATGCATGTCTTTGCCTAAATTGTGTGTATTAGGGAGAGACAGGGTACATATCTGTGTCTCTATCTGTGTAATAGGAGGAGATAGAGTGCTTACCCCTGAGCCAACCATTTGGAAGGCAGAAAACTTATCAGAATTATTCACTAAAGTGTTAAATGTCAGGAACTCAAAGTGAATTTCAAATTGCACATCCAAGCAGCCAACATGGAGAATCTTTCCTGTTTGCCTATTTTGGCTTTGAATTTTAAATTCATACTGCAATGAATAAGCTTGCTTATCCTATAAAAATCCAGCTGTTATTTATGTCCACTTATGACAAAGTTAATCACAGACAGTGACGATACTAATGGGGAAAAGCAGATGGTCCTCTTAATCTAAAAAAAATCAAGCAGATTTCATGCACTCAAAGTGTGCTGACTTGCTACACACAGGAAGAGTGTTGTGCACATGTCATACTTTAAATCTGCATTTAAGATTCCACATTCTAATTGTAAGTAATGTATAAATGCAGAAGGCCATTATCATGCTACCTTATTTAGGGTTTTCACTGCAGCAAACAAACATTCAGCATCTGCCTGATTCAGATTCTGTTATTTTACGGAGCGAGATTGCCCCAGGCAACTACACAACCATGGGCATCCAGATGTTTAGAGGAATCTCGCAGCATTCTGTAGCTGCCATGTAATCCTCTGAGAGCAAGAGGGGTGAACAACATATTGAATTCTAGTTTCATCGTTATTATATTAAATGTGCACTGCACCGCGAAATAAAAAACACAATTAAAGGCAAACCTTCCGTCATTTCATATGGTCAAAGGAGGACATGTGGGACAATCTCTGTTTAAGGGCAGTAATGACTTGCGTTAATACCCCAAATGTTTCTGAACTGCATTTTCCACAATGCAAGGCCAGCCTTAAGACTGGCAATGCAACATGGGAAATTTAGTTTGGAGCATCTATAATTGTCAAAGTTGACCATCTAAATTTCGGGACATGTGGCCAAGGTGTGGTGTTACTCCAGAACGTGTTACTTTGCTCATTTCCATAAATAGCTTTTAGGACAAAAATATTTAAAAGATTTATTAAGGTGTTCTGGTTTAAAACGTGTTAGAATTTAAAAACAAAAAAAAACAAAAAAATGTTTAAAGCCAGGAAGCACCAGTGAAATGTGCCTGTTCATTCCACTGGTTTCCATGGTAATAGCCTGACTTTTAATACTTTGGTCACAAAATTTACATTCCACCCAAAAGAAATTCACCATCAGGTTGTTTATTATCTGAGAAATGCCTAGATTGTAAACATGAAGTACATTTTTTCAAAACAAACCTTTGGGGTGCCAAGGTTAGCCATTCACTCAACAAGGTGTGAGATTTACATCCATGGAGATATATACATACATGCATACATACATACGAGAATAAACAAAAAAGATGTCCAGTGAAAAGATGATATCCCTTTATTGGCAAAACAGCAATGTTACGACTCTCTTTATCAAGCAAAACACATCACTTCACTTCCGGACTGGTACTTTCGTCATCTTTCACCTGTTTAACTGTCCTGATGAAAGTTTAATTCTGGAACTGAAACATTAATGTATTTTTTTTTGACAAAGATAAAATAAAGGTTTATTTGGGAAGACGAGAGTGCCGGTATACCTTCATTACATGTATATAAAATATTGTCTGTTGACTGACAGAGAATTAGATATCTAGTCCAGCAACACATAGAGAACCAAGGACTGACACTCTTGGGTCATATTTTTTGAACTTTGAGAGATATATGCTCAGAAGACAAGGGATGGTGCCACCTCAGAAGGATTAAGATCCCATAGTGCCCAGAAGACAAGTATGCCACCTCTTCAGTCTTTACATAGGAATGATTATTGGGACCAAGCAAATTCATGCTTTCAGGACCTCTGTCTAAGCACTGGGTGGCCTCCTATGGTAGCTTTATGGCTAATCCTGCTCTGGTTGCCATAATGGGGACGCCCATCTTGAAGGCATTTCCATGAGGCTAAATGTCTGCCCGGCCCAACAGTACTCCCAAGGATGCCCTTACGAAGAGCTGCTGAATCACGCTGATATGGGCAGAAACGCCCTAGGTTATCTTAGTAATTCTATCAATTTAATTTTCAGCATTTACTGAATCTGGCTACTTCTCTTATTTTAATCTAATTTAAAAATTACATTTCAACAACTTGTGAAATTTCAGTTTATTACCCAATTAAGCAGAATGATGGACAGCGAAGAAGAAGATTGATTTTTTTTTTAATGGTAGATTTTTCTGTATAGTTTGCAGACTCAATGCTATTTATTGCTAATCTTGTTTACTATCGAATGTCACCATCTAATATAGTTGGTCCCCTGAGTATTTACATCAGTTGTCCTTTACTGTGTTAGATTCAAGAACCAATCTAGACATATTCTTATTCATTCAATAGAAATCACTTGGCAGTCCATCAGGAAACAAATTTAATTTGTCAAATCTACTACGTAGCAGTTATAAGAACTTTCCAAAAAAAGGTTTAGCCCACAGTTTGAGGGGAAAATGTAAAATTTCTGATAAATGGAACTTGGTTCTCATCAATGTATCTTTAAGTAATCCTTGCTGACCATCTTCTTCCATACATTAACAACAGTCTAATTCATGAATTCTATAACTGCTCATATGGGCTTTAAAAGTATATACTCATAATATGATCTTAAAATACAATAATTGTACATTAAAAAAATCTCAAGCATTCTCATTCTTCCAAATTTGCTTATGTTTCATGATCGTCTTTTTGTTCAGTAATATAGGTATTAGGCTGGACAGAAAACCGTCCCAACCAAGGCCACTTCACCCATTGTGACATTATCTTCACCTGTGGTCTACTTGAATGGGAGTGGAGATCTAGCAAATGCTATCAACTTATTTAAAAGGAAGTTAAATGTCCAGTAATACAGAGTGAATTCAAAATGATGTTTCCTTTTTGGACAACATTCTCTCTCAGCCACTTTAAATCAGAAATTATCCACCACATATGAAAATGACTATTTGTTTCACAGTTTTCCGATAAGCTGAACAGGTTTAACCCCTTAAGGACACATGACATGTGTGACATGTCATGATTCCCTTTTATTCCATAAGTTTGGTCCTTAAGGGGTTAAATGGAGCATAGAGTTATGTTGCTCTATTCATTCTCCTGGAAAACTGGAAAAAAAATCTCAAAGTCAGTTATGCCTTCAGTTTGGCTACCCTGGTCTTAAATTTTAATTTTATTTTGAATTCACTCACAATTCCTGACAATTTTCACTTAAGTAAATAACACTGTATATGACATCTCTGCACTTTGAAAACCCTGTCATAATGTATTCACAAGAAGGAGCAGGGAAAATATATCTACATAATTATCTATATTCTCATTCTATTAACAGACTGCCTTTGCTCACACCGGTCAGGTGCCCTCTGTTCTTCTTCCTACCCCGAGATTCTCATTTCTAGGAGTTCATAATGTTTAGTGTGTAAGTTCATCATTGACCTTCACAACAAGAGAACTTCTCACTAATGTGCATGTAACGAGCCTCCTGTACCCAGAGTGGTACGTTCATCTGGACTCTCACGAATTCTGCAAGATTCTTTTTGGTATGCGCTTGTTCTAACGCATACCCAAACATCAGTCGAGACTAGATGAACGGTACAACTGGAATGCTTTATTATGGCCAAGTGGCCTGCTTATATACACAGAGCCCCAGCATGGGGTCTCCGGTAAAAACATAGGGAAGCTCGCCCCGGCATCTCTGTGTCTGGGAGATAAGCGAGTTTGCTTTGTTAAAACTAATTATCTTCCAGGCACTAGAGGTACAGTGAATACAACATAAAACACCCCAAAACATATACAGTAATAATAGGAACCCCCACAAGTCTTATATCCCTGTAAAGCCTGGATCTGAGCGCCCAAGTTGTCCAAATAGTGCTCCGATCCCTGTAGTTTTGACCGACCACACATGTGGCTGCTGCCCAAAATAGTTCCATAAGAAAATGGGTAGCGGATGGTCACTCTTCGGGAGCTCCTATATGAATTCACATGAAAGGTTTCTCTGGCTCGTGGGGAGCGAATGTTCCCCTTGTTCGGGAGCATCTTTTCCCTGAAGAGCGCTCTTCTGGCTAGTCTGTGGGAGAAGCAGGCGACAGTACAAAATGACTGGGGATAAGTTCAGGTATGAGTCATACAGTTGCACGTATGCAACGACCAAGTACCACTGCCTGCATTCGGTAGACAAAATGGTCGCCATTCACTGTACGAATTGCGGTCACCCAATGAGAGCACATATGATTGTTGTTTTCTTTGAAGATAATGAGCCAGGGGGTGGTCCGTAGTTAAAATTACCGAACCAAGGGAAAACAAATTGGGGTTGGTGAATATGAAAATAGTTTCAGGGCAGTTTGTCACAGTGCCATTAAAATGGCCCTGGCAAGAAATAAATAAAAATGCTTTTTACAGTTTTACAGGCAAAACATTTCCATAGTTGCCAAAGATTGTGATTCTGTGCCACCATCACACCAGGGAAAGTCCTTGAAATATGGCAGAGTGAGGTCAATCCCAGGCCAAGACAGCAAGAGAGGGCTTTTCCATAGATTGGCCTGATTGGCTAGCTGTGAACACACAGACACTAGGCTGACATGTAACAAACATACATCTGAGGCGTTAAGGTTAGACTTCAGTTACGGTACACAATAGATGTATTCAGTTTTGAAGATCAGAAGGCTCTTGCAAATATGACAGATGACTTGAAAATGAATACATAAAGGGCAATAATAACCTCTGCAAAGTAGCAACTCATATTTCTCTCTTTCAGAGGACTAGAGGCAAACACCAGACATGAAGATCTGATTCAGTATATCTTGAAGCCTCTTCTAACAGAATAAGTGCTTTCATTGCATATATCAGAAACCGCTGCCTATCTTCTGGCACATGATCCAAATACACGCTCGCTATTGTTTATGCAAACATTGGCCATGCTTTAACCGTTACAAAATAATGCGTCTTGTCTTCTGGAAGTATATTAATAACATGAGCTTTCAAGCGTGCTAAATAATCCATGACAACTGCATTTTTAAAAGAGGATTCATTTTGCATTTTTTTTTTACCCCTTCCAAGTAAATCCCAGCAGTTTCAATCTTGAATTTAATTTACTCTGCACCGAACGTGCTAAGGAAAGAAAAGAACATACAGCTTCAGCATTTTCTAGTTTGGAAATGTGAAACCAGCACAAAATATGCCAAACGGTTTGTCGTAGAACATCATATGTGATCTCAGTCTGCTGTGTGTGTCCAGCTTCAAGACACCCTGTGGAATAGCTGGTCACAGTCTGATAAGAATGTTGAGGCTCTTGTGGATTTGTAGTGCAGATGTTGTTAATAATAATAGAATAATATATGAAATATGCTAGGAGGACATTTTAAGATGACAAAATAATTTCACCACCCCCGGGTTAGCCCCCCCATATTGAGAATTTTAACAAAAGATTATTCCATTTGTTAATATCGCATATTTTAGAGTAGATCTAACGAAAAAAAATTGTTGATCAAACCTGATCTAACAAAGATCTAACAAATGGAATAATCTTTTGTTAAAATTCTCAATATGGGGGGGGCTAACCCGGGGGTGGTAATAATTTCCCTTGGTCAGACAAAACAAATCGTAAAAGGAAAGGCATCATACTTATATTAACTAAATCTGACAAGAAATATATACACACACACACACACACACACACATAAACAGTGCTACGTCGTCGTCCTTCTTAAACATGTTATTCTCTTTTTAATTAAAAAAACAACCAACCAACCAAACCCCCAACCAAGGGATGCCCTGATGCTCTGTTTTCATTTGCGCCGCTAGACACTTGATATACTCCAATCGATTTACAGCTAAATTGCAGGAGAAAACTGCATGATTAAAATGTAGGGCAGCATATGGGGAAAATGAGTGCTTCCTACTTAATAATGAAATCCAAACGTTAAACCTAGGAAACTGTAACAAAACTGAAGCTCATACGGAAATAAGGCAATCAATAGGCTCTTCCAAATGTTTAAAATTTGTATTTATTAAAATATTTTAAGAACAATCAATAGCTGCATCTATACTACACTTCTTATTAATATGTATATTAGGATAATATAGTACAATGCAATTACTGTATCTAGGGATGAACACACATATCCAATACATTTGAAAATGACTCCATGATGAATGTGTTTTTATTTTGTATTTATGGCTTCAAATAGGGACGTCATCTAAATGGCGGTTTAGGCTAAGAGAGCAGGATTCCTTCAGCTTATGCAGCCTTGCACAACATGATGGGATTGGTAGTCCAAAAGTAGCCACGCTAAAATTTTCAAGATCGCTTTTCCAGTCTACAAAGGGATGTTCGAGCAGACAGGGGGATGTTAACCCTAAACTCCCATTGTAAAAGGAATAATCACATACGGAAATGATCCCAGTTTTATTAAGGTCTTACAATGCCTCTTTTAAAGGGTCACAAAGTTCCATTGTACAGAGCTACAGAAACTGTTGGCACATTATTATAAAATGTATTATTAGCACTATACCATCAAAGCTGATGGTGTAGACGGTACCCTGAACCCACTCTCAGCTCTTACAATCGCTGCATCTGAAAGACAGCTCGCCCGGACCTTAGTCCAAGTTACAATCCTGATGAGAGCTGTGAGCCACAGTTGCGATCATGTATGCAGCATGTATGTCAAACCAAACAGTCACTATTTGTGACTTCGATTTACCTACAATCCTCATGATCACCCAGCAGACCTGATCGGTCACTCAGTATCGGCAGGAATGAGGGAAAGTGCAGAGCAAGCAAAAATTTGCTCTTGTGCTGCAATTTCAATTGATTTTAGATTATTGAAACCCCCCACAATAGCTTGTCATATGGGCTGATTGACAACTTACCGCACAACAGAGGAAGCAATGTCACTAGTTGTGCCTCCAGGGCAAACCTATGTGAGCTGTGTTTGTCTCAATACATTTTGTCAGCAGTCACTATGACTTTCTACAAGAGAACTCTATCACAAAACATGTGAAAAACAAAAAAGTCTTACAGGTAAGAAATTATGATATTTATATAGCAGTAATTGAGCCCTGGATATGTACACTTCTACTTCCACTTCTGAACCCTCAGACTCCCAGGCCTCTGTTAGAGGACCCAAGGATGAGCAAAAAAAAACCACCATACACACACCACTAATAAATAAATAAATAAATATACACACACACACACACACACACACACACACACAAAGCCTTCAGCAAACTGATAGATTAGACAACATGCTTACCTAAAGACTGTGTCTGTACTCTCCAAGATTAGTAGCCAGAGATAAGGAAATCTTTACTGTTGAGATATACATTTATAAGTTTGTGTACCTGCATGGATGTAGATTTGTCAATCAATTGAATAAATGTAATATATTATAATTTACAGATCACTCACATGGTACTCCGCATAAATGTAAATTAAAAAAATTAAAAAATAAAATTTAAGTGGGTTTTTGAACCGTGCCATGCTTCATTAATACACCTAATAGTTATAGTACGTTTTGAATTTTAATGTTTCCTTATTTTAAAAAAAAAAACAAAAAAAAACATTTTTTATCTCCAGAGAAAACAAATTCATGTGTTTCTAACCGCACAAACGTTAAAGGAAACAAACTATAAAAAGACTGGAAGGAAGCATTTTAGAGACAACTGGTAGTCGGTATCAAATAACAGTAGAATATTACTCATTGTAACACAGGGGTTACTAAAATCACAATTTTAAAGGGTTACTCTAACCCTTTTCTTATGTTTGTTTAATTAATTTACATTGCCTTACTGGACATTAGTTAATAGGTAACCCCCCCTTATTACTTTATAAAATTGCTATTAAATAAAGTAAAAATGTTCCTTTGACCATATCACTGCCTTACTCTCCATGGTCCAATCAAATGCTTCTCACATAGACGCATTTGACTAGACCAGTAGTAGGCAACCTTTTAGCAGCACTGTACCAAAATAAGATTGTGATATCCCGTTGCGTCCTATTCTTTGATCTGAGATCACTTCCTCCATGTGCTGCAATGCATAAATTGAGGATTGTCCCTAACCCCCTTTTCGTATTAGCAGACATCTAAAGTTTCACTGGGACTCCTGATAGGCCAGAACCTGTCTGGCTCTAGCAGTCTTTCGTGCCGTGCATGGCACACGTGCCATAGATTGTCTATCCCTGGACTAGACACGTGTGCAGGTTCAGAATGCATGTGCACACTCTGAGCCGGGTAGAGGAGTGAAGGAGGAGATTTGTGTTTTAAAAAAAAAACAAAAAAACAAAAACCAAATTATCAGAGCACATAGTCCCTCCAGATTATGGGGTGCCAAAATATTTGGTAATTTGTTTGATTCTGTAGGTGGTATTTGCATTTTGAATCTGTTGCTGTTGTCTCTCATTACTAAGTGAAAGAAGTGCCTAAACCAGTAAAGCAGAGCGAAGCTGAAAAAGTGTAATAAAAATCAGAGATTCTGGCATTATCTCTGATTTTTATTACACTTTTTTGACACATTAGGTGTGTCAAAATTAACGGTTTGGTACACTGTTAAAGAGATGGGAATTTGCCGGTGATCTAAGTAATAGCATACGATCTCTGACACCATGAAAAATTGCTGTATTAAAAGACCTTGCACTTACTGCAGGATATAGATATTGTTATAGGTTTATTTACTTATTTTAAAGAGTAGCCAAAGTAAATACTACACCATGGAAATCTTAGCGGTCAACCACAAGAGACAAACCACTGATAAGACCAAGGACACAAAAGCCAGCTTGCAGTTTACTAAACAGTACTTTAAACATTTAGCATTCTAAAAAAAACAAAAAAAAAAAAAACACGACTTGATGACAGAAAAGAAGCAGGACTAACCTGGTCCAGACTCATGGAAGTAGAATTCAATAAAATTCACATTTCTATGAATACCACTTCCATGTCATATGTAAAACTTGTTGGATGTGAGGTTATGGCTTCAACATATGGGCTGGCAATGAATTTGTCTCATTTGTCTTTACGGATGATTAGCGTAGCAGCAGAATTAATGCTGAAGCGTACAGAATCACCTAACCAAGTGCTTCAAAACGTATTGAAAGACATCACCTTGCCATCTCTGCTCTAAGCAATCTGCAACCTAGGACTTTCTCAATGTGTAAAACCCTGACTCGACTACCAAAGTCAATCACCCAACTTGAGTCTTACTAAACAAGCATTTCTATTGCAGAGGCCAAGACCCAAAGGGAAATTATCCTAAATAAAATAAAATTAAGGTGGCTGCAATAAAGAACATCAAAAAGGAAAATGCACAGCCTCTGGATCTCATACTTCACGCATCAACCACAAAAGGTTTGGAAACCAAGCACCAATTCTAACCATGATTTTGTGCCAGTTTGTCAAAGTATAAATATTGAGCTACCTTGTAGCGGATTATGGACACCAGGCCTGGACTGGCCATCGGGCAAATGCCCAGTGGGCCGCGATGGCCACTGGCCGAGGTGCTGCCATGCAGGGCTGCACCGGCCCTAAGAAGGAACAAGGTCTCTTCATGGGCCAGAGGAGAGATTCCCAAGCTGGAGTGGAAAAATTCATCCAGACACCTGTGTCTCGCGAGCGCTGATATTAACAGAGCGATGCCATGGTAACCCGCGGCATATCTCTGTCATACTGGCACTCGTGAGAGTCAGAGACATGGTCTGTACCCTGCAGAGGTACAGACCAAATCACTGGACCACCAGAGATCATCTCGCTGTGTGTCACCTTGCCCTTGCTCTCAATCGACCCCCCCAGCCACACAGTACAGTCCATACACAACACCCCCTAGTCCTACACACTCTACAGGGCCTATAAAAACACACACTACAGCCCCTAGCCACAAACACACCCTTTTACACAAAAACAAACAAACAGTCTCCTATACACACATGCAATTGCACAAAATCTCCAAACACATACAACACCACAGGGAGCATCCATGCATACACACAACACACTTTAACAGTCCTGTTCCACAGTTGTTCTCTGGTATCCCACTATGGAGGACACCAGAGACAAATCACTAGCAAACGCAAGTTTACGTTGAACAAAATAAAAATCCAGGACATGTACTCCACCCCAGAGCACCCCAGGATGCTCCGGAGGGGCATCACACTAACAAACACGACTCCTTTCCCTCATAGTGGGCAGCTCTGCCTTTATTTGCTGGGGCTGAATTTCACATTATATATACTGTGTTAGGGTATAATGCAAAAATACTGTATTTCACAGCATAATCGTCAGCACCACACAATTGGTTCCAATACAAGCCATCACGTAATGGTTGCATAACTGACCATTGCGGTTCTTCTTATTCTTGAAAATTGATGGCGAACTTCCTACTGATCTTATACTTTAGAGAGGATGTATTACCTATCAATTTATTGTATTTTTTATCACGCATTAGGAAATGTACATATTCTCAGCAGCTATGTTATGTTCTCAGCAGCTATAGTGTTATCAGCAACTGCTAAAAAAAAAATTAAAAAAAAATCAACAACAAAGCTTCACATAATGATCGCATATAATATTGCAAAAACTAAAGCTTCACATAATGGTTGCACCCCCATTTTTAGGGAAAGGAATTAGACATAAAATCTGCAGCTGTAATGTGGTGAAACACGGTAAACACGTTTGTAGTTTAATTGACCTAATTTTCATGGACTGTAGAGTGTCACAATGTACAGATGTTCAAAGAGTTATTGTATCACATAGCAATCTACTGTACGATGAAAGTTATCCAGGAGTATATCAGGAAATTAAAATTTCAGAACACCCTTGAGCTGAATTGAATTATCTATTCAATGGCAGAATATTCGCAGATCCCATTATATGAAGGTGACAGTGTCTCTTTTTATAAAAATAACAACATCTGCATGACCCAAGGATCCTAAATATCTAATCAGTGTCCAAATGAATTGCTCATAGTGCTTAAATAACAAAACAAAAAAGAAAAAGTCAATTAACCCCATTGCATATGCAAAGAGTTAATAAAATGTCAGCTAAGGTACAGACCCTTGGCAGGGCCGGATTAACATAGGGGCTGATGGAGCTGCAGCTCCAGGCCCAGACCCATGGAATAGGCCCATTGTAAAAAAAATTAAATAAAGAAATAAAAAAAAGTAACTTTTTTTTTTTTTTTTTTTTTACAGACTACTCTTAGGTTTACCACCTGACTGGTATTTTAAGGCACAGCTGGTATTGGAGACTGCCTGGCCATGACGATACTGCAGTAATACCAGCAATACAAATGCTAATATTTTTACCAGCACCGGCCAGTAGGGGTCAGTGTGTGTGGAGAGAGGCAGGGATAGGAAGTTATAGCATCTCCCTGCCTCTCTCTACTCACTGATCCACGAGGGAGCAGCTACACAGCACAGAGAGTCCAGACAGCAGCTCCCAGCCTGCAGAGACAGACTACAGCTCAGGTAAGTGAAGGATGGGGGAAAGGCAGAAGGGAGACATGGGGGCACATGTCTCTCAGTGTCCCCATGTTTCCCAGTGTCCCCGTGACTCCCAGCCAGTGTCTCAGTGTCCCCATGTCTCTGTGTCCTTAGTGTCCCCATGTCTCCCAGTGTCCCCATGTCTCCCAGTGTCCCCATGTCTCCCAGTGTCCCCATGTGCCCCATGTCTCCCAGTGTCTGTGTCCCCATTCCTCCCAGCCAGTGTCCCTAGTGTCTGTGTCCCTATGTCTCTGTGTCCCTAGTGTCTTAGTTTCCCCAAATGTCTGTCACCATGGCTCCCAGTGTCCCCTAGTCTCCCAGTATCTGTGTCCCCATGTCTTTGTGTCCCCATGTCTCCCAGCCAGTGTCCCCATGTCTCCTAGTGTCCCTATGTTTCCCAGCCAGTGTCCCTAGTGTCCCCATGTCACTATGTCCTTAGTGTCCTCATGTCTCCCAGTGTTCCAAAATGTCTCAGTGTCCCCATGTCTATGTCCACAAGTGCCCCATGTCTCCCTGTGTCCCCAAGTGTCTGTGTCCCCATGTCTCTCTGTGTCCCCATGTCTCTCATGTCCAGTGTCCCTAGTGTCTCCGTGTCTCCCAGTGTCTGTGTCCCCATGTCTCTGTGTCCTTAGTGTCCCCAAGTGTTGTGTCCCCATATCTCTCAATGTCCCCATGACTCCCAGCTAGTGTCTTAGTGTCCCCATGTCTCCCAGTGTCCCTATGTCTCTCAGCCAGTGTCCCTAGTGTCTGTGTCCCCATGTCTCCCAGTGTCTGTGTCCCCATGTCTGTGTCCTTAGTGTCCCCAAATGTCTGTGTCCCCATGCCTCCCAGTGTCTCCATGTCTATGTCCATAAGTGCCCCATTTCTCCCTGTGTCCCTAAGTGTCTGTGTCTCCATGCCTCCCAGCCAGTGTCCTTAGTGTCTGTGTCCCCATGTCTGTGTCCCTAGTGTCTGTCTCCTCATTTCTCCCAGTGTCCCCAAATGTCTGTGTCCTCATGTCTCCCAGTGTCCCCATATCTGTATTCACAAGTGCCCCCATGACTCTCTGTGTCCCCGGGTCTCTCAGTGTCCCCTAGTATCCTAGTGACACGGGACACACTGAGACATGGGGACACAGACACTGGGAGACTAGGGGACTGGGCGACATGGGGACATTGACACTGTGATACATAGGGACACTGATGCCAGGCTGTCCTTCCAATTCTTTGGACAGACATGCCCCCTTTTTGGGCATGTTCGCCCCTTTTGGCAGTTCTGGTCACGTGATTCGCGTCAGTGGTGCACCCTTTTATCCCGCCCACGAACACTGTGAGATTAGCATAGAGTATGTGTTTTCTTATAGCTGCATCCTTTGAGTTTCCCTCCAACACCAACTCCATCAGATACATGACTCGAGAGGTATGACTGTTTTAGTGTTTTTGGTCGATAAGTTTCTGTAATTAGGCCCCATCATAATTGTCAGCACCAGGCCCACTGGGCTCTTAATCTGGCCCTGACCCTTGGCACATGCCTATCTACATCTGCTAAAATCAGACCGGCCCCTTGTAATTCGAGACAAACTTACATGGCATTTTTAAATTATAATGGTTCTTATTATGGGAATTCAAAGTATAAAAATTGTGTGGCACGGGATCCCGGCTCGATCTATACTCGGTCTTTTTAATGGAGTATTGTCACTTCCCATGGTTTTTAATATTACTTTAACTTGTTATGGATGTTTAATAAAAGTGTTTAAAATTTCAGAAACATTAAAATATCATAATCCAAGAATGGAGTGCTGCTGATACACACTCTGCACAATCCTAGTGTCCCAACACAACAGAACCTGACTAATGATGGACTCATCCTGTGCTGGCTGGGGGCAGTGACCTGTTGTCCTCGGATGTGTTACACCAAGAAAGAACATCCAGATTGCCAAATGTAACTCTAGTTCAATCTCTGCAAAACTACTATTTTAGACTAAACTTTGCATGTCGGTCTCCAGTTCACTACAAATTGGTTTTAGTGAATAAACTCCAATACGACTTTTTTTGACAAAACAAAGGAAAACACAAATACCAATACCAAGCTACCTATAAATGAGTAAATAAATAAATATTTTTTTCCCCCCAAATACACAAAGTGACCAGTTGTGTATAGTGGATAAATCTAGTCTTCATATCACCCTATCACATCCTGAATATTTTCACACACTCATGCTAAAACCTCTCACTCTAAGACTGAAGGCTGGAGAACGTACAAGCCATTCGTGTGAACTGAATTCATGGTCATGTTTGAGAAAATAGCACAAAAGCACAAGTGGTTTTTTAGATTCTCTGCAAAGAAACCACTTGGAAATATTTAGACTGTGCAGATAAAGTAATGCAACTATGTGGCAGTACTGAGTGGCAGCTAGTATAAGGTCTGCACTTAGGGACACTTCCCCAAACAGGGCAATCCTCCCTGATGACATGCGGCTTTCATTGCACGTCATCATCATCATAGTCAGAATGTCAATATTCCTTCGAAAACGTGAGAAATGCTCGCTGGGAAGATTCATTGTGATGGAGAGTCGAGGAACGACTTTTTGGAGGGTTCTCCTGCTCTTGAATGTCCGTCAATCCTTGGCTTAGATATGTATGAGCCACGTATAGTGCAATTAGTGGGAGGGTCTTTATTATGAGGACTATTTAAAATGGGATTTACAGGATTATTTACTAACGTGAGAATCAAGGCGAATTTCAAACTCAAGGCCAGAGTAGGCAAACGGAAAACATAGTAGACAGAGAATTTTTCCAATTTGGCTATTTTTACCGTGAACTTGAAATTCTCTTTAAATTCATTTGAATTCTTTATTTTAGTGAACAAACCCTGTAAAGTATCAAAACATTGCAGCTTGCGACAGTCACTTTGACTAAACCAGTTGATGAAACAATTGAGCCATTCAGCTTAAAAATTGGGATACACAAAAGCCAGAACTTGTTTATTTGTATGTGGGATTTGGATCTGTCGTTGCCAGATTTGTCCACATTGAGGCAAACATATGAATTCTATGATTTTTTTCTGTTTCGCATGTGTCTAGCTGAAGTCAATGTAGGTTTTTTTTTTTGTTTTGTTTTTTTAGAATGTTTAAATAAAGGCATCAACAGAACATAAATTAAGACAGCAACTGCAACAAAATTTCAGCTGTTAAGCTAAGCAGAATTGATTTTTTATGAATAATTAAATCACTAAAGGAAATACCCTACAACGCCTCATCTCAATCGACCTTGAAATCACGGACTCTGCCTTTATGCTTAACATGACTCATTGAGATTTACAGACAGTTCTAGAAAGCTTGGTGCCATAAGAAAGAATATTAAACACAATGCACGCGCACACACACACTCAAAAGTTGCATTTCCTTAAGAATCCTCATTGAAATCCTGGATAATTATATCACCATAGCAACTAGATATATTAACTCGATCCCAAGGGAATGTGCTTCCACACCTAAAACAAGCAATCTGCAATGAGAATTCGGAGGAAAGCCAGCATGACAATTTACTAACGAGAAGGGAGTAGATGGGGGTGTGGGGGGGGAAGGGACAGGGTGTATTCCAGAAATATACATACATATATAATATACTGCTCGCAGACTGAAGAATAGTTTTCCAAACTAAATAAGGTGAGATTAGAAGCATTTATCACCCACATGAGCTAGTGACAAAGTACAGGAATACTGACACAAATCCATTAGCTACAGTACTCTACAGAAGGAAGTCTTTTGTCTTCATTTATAGGACTCCCAGGTTCCAGAGAATCAGGAAACCACATAGGAGAGAATGACCAAGGTTGTACCCTCTTCTCTGTAGATGGGTCATCCATCCATAAATCAGACGGTGACAGATAGCATAGCCCAGGGGAGATGGGTTGTTACAGCTTTACTTTCTGTAACTAGCTTTTCAGAATAATTAACACAGGCATCTGAGGACTAATAAAACTCTTCCCTAATTTGGAGAGCAAGAAAATAAAACAAAGAATACATTGGCTCTTTAATGTACCACTTTAAACTTTATTTCCCAAGTCATGTCAATAGTTTGACCACTTACAGAGATAAGATGGTATGCACATTCTCTCTCGGATCAGGGGCACTGCTTAGCGAGACTTCCAACCAAAGACTGGTTGCATGTGGGTTTAGTCTGATGCTGGGTAATGGGCAAGGAAATAATCTGTCCCAAAAACATCTGGGTGCAATTAACCCATTAAAGCTTTAGCATGGAATCTAGAAAGTGGTTTAGCCTTGGGATCGGGTTAATATTAAACTCCCCTAAAATAGAAAGTGGCCTGCTGTTACAGGGTTAGAAATTAACTTTACATCATAATGTTGCAGGGTTTATTGATACAAAAGATGATGAAGAATATATAAACAGTTATGATCTTCAAGAAACCAGACAATGTTCGTGTATGCGTGAAGGTACACGGATAGAAACGCAGGGAAGGTCAGTGTGGCTGCATTGATTTTCCCAATTGTAAGCCCCTAAGAATAAGGCCAGTCCAGAAATCAAAGCACGTTCTGCATAACAAACATTCTCTAGTTTAGTCCTAAGGGGCTACAAAGACCCTCTTGCTTCTTTAACAATGTCTTTTCAGAATGTAATGTCATAGTAGGCACACTTTCGGATAGGCAGTGCTAGGCTAAGCAGAAAACACATCAAAGATATATTAATAAGGTACTTGTGTCCGCCATGATTACTGGAAAAAGCTATGCTTCAGAGCATCTACAAAACCATTGTTTCCTCAGCTCCAGTTAGATAAGCATTAAGAGAAAACAAGTTAGCATATTGTTGTGTGATTAGATAGATCCTAATCCCTCAATTGGCTTACATATTAAAAACCTGTCATTCAAACCTTATCCTAAAAATAGCACCCCGTCTAGAAACAAAATCACGTTTAAATCCTCTAACAGTAAAAGTGACTGTACAACAAATGTTCCGGCCTGAAAGGGTTTGACAAGACTTCAGGGTTTGCACCCAAATACTGCTGACACAAGAACCACCAAAATGAGCTACAGTATTAATGTGACTTATTGGGTCCCTTTAATAAGTAGGAACTGCCTTCTATCTTGCCAAATAATGCTGGATTACCACTCATCTGATCTACCAAACAAAATTGACACAATTGTCTCCAGTGCGCTATTATCCATAGATCTAGTGACCCTACTCTCAGACCAGAACACATTTTCTTTACAAAATGTGGAGATGCATCCTGCCTGAGGGGCTACACCCAGGGGTCCACAAATTAATTCTAATTGACACTTCACTGCTGGAATTACCCGTACTGTCTTTTATGTGGATTTTCCTCCCCTCCTCTTTTTTTTCCCCTCATTACTTTCTCTCTACTTTCAATTTGCACTCCCTCTATGCATTGTTAAATATGCAGTTTATTCTGAAAAAAAAATTAAATACAATTATATTTAAAAGGAGCACTAAAGCGTTAGCAATACAAATATGTATTCCTAACGCTACAGAGCCCTAGTCACCTAAACTGTGACTAGGGCTCTGTTCCGTGGCAAATAAATGGTTAATTAACCATTTGTTTGCTTACCTTAATCCAGCGCCAGGCTTCCTCGGCACTGGTGACCTCTCCTCCTCCATCAACGTCAGCTCCCGAGTGGAGCCGAATGCGCATGCACAGCCAAAGGCGCAGTCAAACCTGCCAATAGGAAATATCACTCAATGCTTTCCTATGGGGATCTTTTTTGATGCTGGACTCCGTGAGGACGTCCAGTGTCAAATAAGTGAGATTTACTCTGTGTAAATCGCGGAAGCAGCCTCTAGTGGCTGCCTGGGAGACAGCCACTAGAGGTTGGATTAACCCTGCAGTGTAAACATAGCCATTTCTCTGAAACAGCTATGTTTTCAGCTGCAGGGTTAAAACTAGGGGGACCTGGCACCCAGACCACTTCATTGCCTATAGTGGTCTGGGTGCCTATAGTGGTCCTTTAAGAAAATAAAAAAATAAAGTCGTAGCTGGTGTCAGCAATCTGAAAACTCCTTCCTCATGAGGAATAAGCTCCACCAATCAGAAGCATCTAATTTTGGTCTATGGAGTTTGCGCTTATCCCATACGTCTCTATCCAGCAGGACTGTATATTAAGACAATTATCCCCCACCCACAGATCCACATATTACATAGGATGAGTGAACCTGTTCTGTAAACGGATTGCGACGATACTGCGCCTGATATTACTTTATACAAAGCACGGTTCACATCGTCTGATCCAGGGAGGAAAAATGTATTCCTTACTAGTTTGTGCAGCTTGTGTTGACACAGTAAAAGATGAAATCTGCTCTTACAGCTGGTTTATAGATGCAGACATTTTTACAAATCACTGCAGTAATAAGCCATCATCAGCAAGCTGTGCAAACAGAACCTTTGCAATCATGGAAAGTTGTTATAGTGTCTAGAGGAGCCCTTTAACTCCCAAATAATTGCATACAATGAAATTCCTGCAGTTATGTCATAGCGCAGTCACAATTTCATTTCTTTGTAGTGCTTTGCTGAATTAGTCTAGTATGTGATCTTCGTTCAGAACACTGTAATAACGCAAACATTCCAATCTCTGCCATGAAACTGCATCACACTACATTGTACCTAATCAATATCACATGGGTTTAATTAGATCTACTTCAACGCAGCTAATCAAGATTATGCTCAACCTTCTGCAAAGGAAAAAACCCCCCCAAAAAAACCTGATGAAATGATCTTTATACCCAGATTTATAAATAGAGCTCTGTCCTTATTCAGTAGTGAATACATATTAATTCCTGCTCCTCTTTATTAAACAGAAAGTCATTTAGGAAAAAGAACGGCGGTTACATCCAGAACAGAACAGGAGGCAACAACAAGATGAATATGTTGGCTTGCACCCAAAAACACCCTTCTCAAATAAATACAAAATTCCAATTTTAGAACCTGTTTTAAGGAAACGGGGGAGACATTGGGGAATCCGTGTAGAGCCGTACTTTGGCAATGGGGATGTGTGCGCCACTGGCCGGGCTTTCTGTTAGATGTCCTCTAGATTGTAAGCTTATTTGAGCATGGTCCTCATTGATCCTGTAACATTTTGTAATGGTCTCATTTATTGTTCCATTTCCCCTTTTTATAATAATGTAAAGGGCTGTGTAATACGTTGGCGCTATATAAATACAATAATTAATAAATAATAATGTATTTCACAAATCTCTGCAGTGCCAAGGATGTCCATTTCCGTTTTCCAAATTCCATCCAGGGATTTGGGAGACACTTTATTCTGTTACCTTTAGGGGAAATACCACACATAGCTGGCATAGCTCCTGTCTGGGTTCAGAAGTCAGACTGATAAGAACTGAATTAAGCAGCATGTACAACACTGGCACACAGTGCTCAGAATGGGTTTTATTTTGGCCAAGTAACTAATGTAGAATTGAGACCAGAGCTATACAAATCTCAGATACTATCTTTATAAAGCTACATAAGAATGTATACAGTTCTCACAAATTCAAACAAGAAAGGCTATTACAACAATTATGTAGACTCTGCATGTCTAAATATTGTACAACGCTGCGGAATCAGTTGGCGCTTTATAACTAATAAAATAAGAATAAGAATATTATTGTAATAGCCAAATGGTTAGCCAACTATTTTGAAACATTTTCATTAATTTCCAGCCCAGATGTTCTGTGTGTGTCTGATCTAACATAGTTTACAGGATTCTAGGATTACTGGGACTAAACACACAACACAAAACTTGTCCCTGCTTCTTACCTGTCAATGTTGACAGGTAAGTGATACAGGAATCTACCCACTTAACATTTTTGTGTCAGTTTTCTAAGGACTTTAAAATATAATTGAGAAGCTGCTCTTTTTTTTGTTTTGTTTAAAAGTGGGTCATAAATCTCTATTTTCTCCACATATAAGTGATGTAAATGCATGATTTAAATGACAGGTAGATGAACAAACATAGGGTAATTTTTGGACATTCCAAACTGATCATATATCTAACAGAAAAAAAAAAAGGAGGAAAAGAAGAAAGAAGATACAAAAGACAAGCTATGTCCAGAAATGAAGAGATGAGATGAAAGGGAAAAAAAATAAATGGGAGGGGGTTCCTTGACCAAGGGTGAAAGGCACAGAGCAGAGAGGTCCCACCTTCCGGGTCAAGGTGGGACCCCTAAAAGCCAGAGCTGAAGCCCCGGGCTCCTGTTTGAATTGGGGTCCCAGGCCATCTAATATGTAATCCGGCTTGGAAGGCCACCTTCATTTATTTTAGTCCTACCTTGGTTGCTCCAGTCAGTTAGGTTTAAAAGGAAGACCCACGTGGAGACTTCGGTTACATTTTAGGTTTTCCGGCTTTGCTCACTTCTTTCACATAGTACATGGAGAATTGGACTGTTGAGAATTTTTGCACAATTAAGTGATGTGATGCACAGAGCAATGTTGCACCTACTTTATACAATGTTTAAACAACAATCACATCACTTCCATTTTACCAGTTGTTACAATGTTTTTTTGTTGTTGTTTTGAACATCATTACTTTATGCATAGGTATGGCGATAGCATTTCTTTTCCCAAGGAAATCTTTTGATACAAGCGACTCACTATGGAATCTTGCAAATTCATGTTCTTCCAGGTGCCAAAGCAATATACATACCTGCACAATGCAGTGATATGGGAGCGTCAAGGTCAATACTATCTGCCAGCTGCAAACAACAGACACAATCCCTTCCCCCACCTCTTATTCCTAGGCTCCCCTCTGAATAATAACTCGTCCTGACCCTTATTCTCACTCGGTATCAGGAATGCACTAAACACCATCACTAACTTTTCAACTTTTCTCTCACTAGGTTCTGGCATTTGACAAACATTGTTCTAGTTTACTATACACTCATACAACACATACCATTCCAAGACACAAGTGAGCAAATGGAAACCCCTATCAGTCACAACCAGGGGAGGTGTGGCTAGGGCTGCATAAACAGAAACAAAAGTGATTTAACTCCTAAATGGCAGTGAATTGAGCAGTGAAACTTCAGATGCATAATCTATACACCAAAACTGCTTCATTAAGTTAAAGCTGTTTTTGCTTTAAAGGGACACTATAGTCACCAGAACAACTACAGCTTCATGTAGTTGTTCTGGTGAGTATAATGGCTCCCTTTGGGCATTTTCATGTAAAATACATTGCCCCTAGGGACACCTCCAAGTGGCCACTCCTCAGATGGCCACTGGAGGGGCTTCCTGGCTCAGGGCTGCACAGTAAGCAGCCCTGCCGATCAGCGTCCTCACGCTCTGCATGGAGACGCTAAATTTACCTCAGAGATGTATTGATTTAATGCATCTCTATAAGGAGGTCCTGATCGGCCAAAACTGCATTTGGCCCTGCCCTGGTGCCGATTTTAGCCAATCCAATGCTTTCCCTATGGGAAAGCATTAAATTGGCTAAAAGTCGGCCATTTTGATTATGTCATAAAGAGGGCGGAGCAAAGCCTGCGGACCTGCGCAGCGCTGTAAATAAAGTGAGTTTTAAACTTTTAAAGGGTGGGCAAGCAACCTATATGGTGGATTTAACACGATAGGGTCAGGAATACATGTTTGTGATCCTGACCCTATAGTGATCCTTTAATTTTAGTGTCAACAGCTTATAGGGTGGTGCAATCCATAACACAATGTGATATTTAAAATATAAGGTATGAACAGGTAATCCAATGTATTAGCAGCCACTGGAATAAAAGGAGACTGGGTGCCTTAAAGACTATTGTTATTCTGTTTGTGATATCATGAAAGCTGAAGCTCGGGTCTCTAACATCTCAGACAATGAAAGCCAAGCACGTGCTTCCGTGCTGCATAGCAACATTCTAGTCAATGCAGCGCATTAACAGAACTCTTTGAATCGCAGAATTGTCTGCATGAATATTTTACCATCACATAACATAGCACAGTGTCTGATGTTATTTTCCACTGCCTGGGACAGTCTTAACACACCGCACCTTCTCCTCCAATATGAATATAGCACTTGGCATATCTTAAAAAGCCAAAGAGTACAGTGTGAACTACAAACAGCCCTCCAGGGCTTCTACCAAACATCAGTTTTAGCTGAAAAAAAAAAAACCTTACTCCCTCTCGCCCATTTTCTGCTTTGTTTAACGCAGATCAAACACGGACTGGTATGCCTTTAAATGCTCAAACAGACAGAGTTCCAAATCTAGAGTCAGTCACATTTTTCTGTGTCATAAATTACAGGAAAACACAATTAAAACAAGGACAGGCAAGGTAGAGAGCAAAATATGTTACTGCAGACATCATTCCTTTATTAAGCTATGGATGTGTCTTATCTCTGTTGTGTGAGCAATAACGTTGGGTTCTATCTCCAACCTATGATAATACTACACTATTATTCAGATGCGCACACAGCTGAAGCAAAGGATATGATCACAAAGTATAGTTTGCTACACATCAAAGAATAGTTTGATAAACATAGCTTGCTACACGTAGAGTCCACTAATCTATGGCAAATGGTGATTACATAATTAATATATATATATATATATATATATATATACACACATATACACACATACACACACACACACAATCCCAGTGCTGGAACACAACTTTACAGACTTACTTTTGACTAGACATTTTCAACTCGGTAAAACCAGGAATAGACAAAGATGAAGGAATACCTTCAGTAAGCCAAGATGGACTTCTGAAAACAGACCTTCTAAAACCTTTTCTAGCACCAACTTTGCATCCCAGATGGTGTACCACTGTCAGCCTTCATTGATCTAGGACCCATCTATAACTAGAGGGCATCTAAGACCTCTACATGAAAGCAGACTGTCTGGGATCTCTATATAAATAAATACATTTAAAAAAGGCCAACTTGTATTGGTTGACCTGTTGGCTAAAGAAGACATGTTGATCATCAATAATGTTGGCAAGGCTGAGTGTGGAGACATTGCTTGGGTTGTGGTTAGGTGAGCCTTGATATAGCATTTCCAAAAGAGTAGCTGTACAGAACAATGGAAGTAGCAATTAGCTTTACATTTTCCTTTGTTACAAACAATTTGGTTCACTATCACACTGTGTTCAAACCATATATTACATAGCAACATAGACTGGGGAAAATGTACTTTCTCAAATCGGTTTCTGCTGTTGATCCAAAAGAAGGCAAAAAAAACAAGCAAAAAAAGTTTGAAGCATTTTCCAATTTTTAACAAACTAGAATTTTTTTTTATCATTCTTGACCCCAGAATGGCAGTCAGATTGCTCATTAGATTAAATACTATATCCATGATTATTATGCTTTTGCAAGAAAAGGCTCTGTCTATGGAGGATGCCACAGGATTCTTCACAGACCTCCATGTTGTACTATCATGCATGCGCAAGAGTACAGCACTAACAACAGCTCCTGGAAGCTGAAGCACCAGGAGCGTGACGTGTAAGGGTGGAAGAGTAGAACACCTTCCCCTGCACCACCGGACACCCAGCAGCGATGTCACTACAAGGGGTCTTTGTAAATTATGCAATGACCCAAATGGAGGCAGAGTCGCTTTAAAGACCTCCATGATGATATTGCTGCTTTGGGTGCATTAGAGGTGAGTTATACTAACCGGATGTTGCCCCAGCGGGCGCCATCTTTGACCTTCAGTTCCTGGTGCTTCATTCTCCAGGAGCTCACATCAGTGCTGCGCAGGTAATAGTACAACACTGATGCGTATGGAAAATTCTGTGAGAGCCTCCCTAGATGTTGTCTAGCGACGAAAGAGGGAAAATTTAACTTTACTGCGGTAGCTCCACCTTTTGCCAAATTAGAGATTTACCATAAGACAAAGTCCCTATTCATATCTTCTGACCGTGTTGGAATATTAATGAAATCCCAACAAAGCCTTTACGAGCATTTTACATAAAATTTTATTTTTAAAATTGGGGGGATGAGGGGGAGTTAAAGAGTCACTTTAACATTGAAAAAAATAACTACCGGTAGTGTTTGTAATAAATAAACAAACAAAATACCTGCAAACAAAACAATGCTTCAATAGTATTCAGTATAGTGCGGGTCCTATATGGAAAAAAATAAATAAAAATCATTTTGAATCATCAGGAGAGGTAGCAACTTAATTACACCCTGTCGCTCTGGTGAAGCCATGTTTATATCATGCTAATTTCAAGAATAATAGTATGGCAATAAAAATACAGGAAAAGAAGCAACTGCAAAGAATATAATAAAAGTACATTTAGAAAGCAGAAAATCAGTTTAAGATTTCAAATGCAATGTTATAAATTGTAGCAATAACAGATCATATAATGTCATGTTTTTTGGTTTTTTTTTTAAATTCACCCATAAACACAATGTATACAGCCAATACAGACACATTCATGTATTGAGGTTCTCCATCACCATGGAAACCTACTTAATGAACAAACACCCTTGTTGTCCAAAATGTTCCTCTAAATCTTTTTTTCAAAAAATGAAAATGCAGTGAGAAATCTCTAGATCATGGGGTTTCACATGACAATCTTCAGGCACATTTACAGTTTTTAAAAAACTGATCAAATGTCTGTATAATCCTTTAATATATAATTTATAAAAAATAAATAAATAAATAAAAAGGGTTGGTTCACCTACAAGAAAAAGCAAAAATGATATGGACACCGCTTTTGATGTTTTTGAGTTTCCATTGCTTTTAGACAATGAATGCATCCTTCGTTTTATTATTTTTAGAGTCCGGTTTATGCTATACAATAATAATAATAATAACGGCCTACTCAAACAAGGTGAAAAGCTGGCAAATTTAACAACACATGAATTCAGCTTTCATTTTCAATTATCCTTCAGATTTCATAATTGATATGAAAATAAACAAACACAATAGTGTAGTATATCTGGATTGCACCAATTAGAAACGCAATGATAAGAAATGGACACACTCTGTAGGAAGCCTTGGCTAAAACAATAAAATACATATTAAGGAGAGAAATTCCACCTCGCTACAATATAAAATGACAGTTCTCTTTTAAATCCAACTAGAAGAAAACAGAAAGCAGACCATAGGTTAACTGGAAACATGCACTCTATTGCATGCTAAAATGTAATGGCTCACTTTTAAAATACCGGTAGATGAGAAAGCCACTTCAATTCTCACAAACACGCTATACCAAAAATATGCTGAATTCCATTGGTCCTTTGGATTCCTCTCGCTTTCTGTTCTCTCTCCCTCAGGCTTTCTTCCTAGTGAATTTAAAGGAGAACTGCCAGTTTTTATTGCAGTTAGGTGGAACCACTTTACTTAATAGAGGTTTTATTGGTGAGCCGAGAAAGAGGCTTCCTACAGAGTTAGAGACCATTTGCTATCAATGTACAGAGTATTTAACCAAGAAAGGTACATTCAGATTACTTCAAGTACATCCCGGGGATGTTACTTTTGCCCAACATCCAGGGGATGTTACTGCACTATATTATGTTTCTTTATTTTTACAAATATGAGGAACATGGAATGGTAATTGAGAAATAAAGTAAATACATTTTTTTCTTTTTAAAGCACAACTCACTTTTTGCGGGTTTTTTTGCGATGTAATTTTTTGCTGGAGTTTATTTTTATTCTAGAAACTTTATTGCGCTTATTATTTGGTTTTCAACATAGGAAACATATTGCACCCTGATACTTGGAGTTTGATTCGAACACACAAAACAAATTAATAAAAAAAAAAAAAATGGAGGTTCTGCGTAATAATTTGGTTGAAAAGATAGTAAAGTCATTTTGTTAAATGTGGAAAAGGAAAAATGGTGGTGGGGGGGAAGGGTTGTGGAATTGTGTGTGTATATGTCATGTCACATTGTGTGTGTGGGGGGGCTGCTTGTGGAATTGTGTGTGCGGATGATGTCACATTGTGTGTTTGTGTGTGGGGGGATGATGTCACATTGTGTGTAGGGGTGTGTGTGCGGGGGTGATGTCACATTGTGTGTAGGTGTGTGTGTGGGGGGGCTGCTTGTGGAATTGTGTGTGTGGATGATGTCACATTGTGTGTAGGTGTGTGTGAGGGGGCTGCTTGTGGAATTGTGTGTGTGTATGATATGTCACATTGTGTGTAGGGGTGTGTGTGGGGGGATGATGTCACATTGTGTGTAGGTGTGTGTGTGTGGGGGGCTGCTTGTGGAACTGTGTGTGTGGATGATGTCACATTGTGTGTAGGTGTGTGTGGGGGGGCTGCTTGTGGAATTGTGTGTGTGGATGATGTCACATTGTGTGTAGGTGTGTGTGAGGGGGCTGCTTGTGGAATTGTGTGTGTATATGATATGTCACATTGTGTGTAGGGGTGTGTGTGCGGGGGTGATGTCACATTGTGTGTAGGTGTGTGTGAGGGGGCTGCTTGTGGAATTGTGTGTGTGTATGATATGTCACATTGTGTGTAGGGGTGTGTGTGCGGGGGTGATGTCACATTGTGTGTAGGTGTGTGTGTGTGGGGGGGCTGCTTGTGGAACTGTGTGTGTGGATGATGTCACATTGTGTGTAGGTGTGTGTGGGGGGGCTGCTTGTGGAATTGTGTGTGTGTATGATATGTCACATTGTGTGCAGGGGTGTGTGTGGGGGGATGAAGTCACATTGTGTGTAGGTGTGTGGGGGGGCTGCTTGTGGAATTGTGTGTGTGGATGATATGTCACATTGTGTGTAGGGGTGTGTGTGGGGGATGATGTCACATTGTGTGTAGGTGTGTTTGGTGGTGTGTGTATGTGTGGGGCTGCTTGAGGTAATGCATGCGAGAGGCTGCGTGTTCTGTATGAGGGTGAGGTTTCTTTGCTTTGTGTATGACAAGCAATGTGGGTGACTTCCTCAGGGTCCAGTGGAAACTGGGCTGACCAGGTACGGGTCAAGGACAGGATCTGAGATACCTGCTGTGGGCTGCTCTACTCCACTGCGGATTCCCCCTCACAAATGCTGGGAAGAAGTAATATGAATTCACTTCCTCTAAGTGGTACAATGTGTAAATTGAGGATTTTTTCTCACCACCTGGAATCTCAACTCGAATTGGACTAGGAGATATCTGAAGTCACACTGGGACTCCTGATAAGCCAGAGCCTGCTTGTGTCTCTGGCAGTCTTGAGTGCTATGCAAAGGCACCTCATGTGCCATAGGCTCCGGACCCCTGGTCTGGAGACCAGCTACTATAGTATACTTCTCTATGATTTGATTTATACAAGATAACCCACATTTAACGCAGTGACCTGAAAACTGATTAGCACAATTTGAGCTAAAATAGTGAATTCTGAAAAGTTTCCAACTCTGCCTTTGTTACATTTCTACTATTTACAGTTAACCACTATTTGTTGTCTAGTGACCAATTGTTTCCTAAAATACAGTCAGATACACTTGGGCTGTTACATTCAGAGACAGGGAACCCATTGCTCTCCAACTGGTGAATTAGAACTTCCATTATATTCTGTCATTTAGAAGATCATAGACATTGCAGTTTAACAATAGCAAGGCTGTCACATCTTCACTGACCTTGACATAGGTAACAAATTAAAGAATTACTCCAAGTACCATAACCACTACAATCTGGAAACACCATGGGGACCTGGCAGGCTCCAAGTAAATGGTGATTAGCAGACTACTTTGGGATAGTGCCAGGGCACTTCCTTCACCACAACCACTACGGCAGGCAGCACCAAGCCTAAAAGTCCAGGTGCAACTTTGCATTTACAGAGATTATATTGGACTCTTCAACAATATGTATTTTCCTTTATAGGGAGAAAAAAAACAACTAACCAACCAAAAAACAAACAAACCTAAACATTAGCAGGCCAGCTTACAAAGAACTAAAGAAAAAACTATTAGACTTTAGATTTAAGGTACATTCCACAACCTTTCAAACACATGGTGTGTTAATCAGGTTTCAACTCCTGTCATTTGGTCAATGATAGCAAGTAACAGTGTGACCAAAGTATGATACAACCAAGAATTATTATTATCACCATTTATATAGCGCCAACAGATTCCGTAGCGCTTTACAATATTATGAGAGGGGGGATGTAACTATAAATAGGACAATTACAAGAATACTTACAGGAACAATAGGTTGAAGAGGACCCTGCTCAAACGAGCTTACAGTCTATAGGAGGTGGGGTATAAAACATATTAGGACAAAAATATATAATCAAGTAGGGTGGGAGTGAAGCAGAGCTGGAGGTGAGAGTAGAGTGCGGCCCTTTAGGAGAGAGCAAGAGACAGGTATGTAAGGTAGAGGTTACTCTGGGAGGCCATAAGCTTTCCTGAAGAGATGGGTTTTAAGGCACTTCTTAAAATGATTGAAGACTAGGGGAGAGTATGATGGCGGTAGGCAGGCTATTCCATAGGAAGGGAGCCGCCCGTGAGAAGTCCTGCAAGCGTGAGTTGGCCGTACGGGCGCGAGCAGCGGACAGGAGAAGGTCACGGGCAAAGCAGAGGGACCGAGAAGGGGCATACCTATGGAGTTAAAATGTATGTCTTGCACAATTGCTCCGGGCTGGGTAAGGTGACATCCTAGAGTTTTGAATTATTATAAAATATTTTCTCAAGTATATATTTTACGGTTTGCTTTACATACATCAGATGAAGTCTGCCAGGGGGAGCCTTTACCTGAAGTAACACGTTTTTAGAATGATTTATTAAAAATTATTGATGAGAGCATCGGCACTACAAACTTCTGAAAAGAACCAGACTATTTATCACTGCAAACACATGGGGGTATTACCTCTGAACGAATACAGAGGAAAATATAATGAAGCAGGAGGTGTAAGTCAGAAAGCAGTATACTGTTCAAGATACAGTAGAACATAGTTTTTAGGACATTGTATACATTTGGGTATCAGCCAACATTTGTAAATCTGATGTTACATTTTTAGGAGATCAAATAAGGACTCAGTAAGCCCATCTGTTTTATCCGAGGGCTGTTCTATACACACGAGTGATATACTGACAATCAGCAAAATACTTCTAAAAGGCAGCGCTAACAGGCCCCATATCTTCCTGACACATTTCCTTTCTTACTGGACATCAGTAGATACATTGAGACCTAAAGGTGAATCAGCCCAGGGCATTGGAAACCTTATTCTATTGAAGTCAAAATGCAGACGTCATGGTGAATTGAAGTGAACTGAAAACTACGAAATTTAGGTTAAAATAGACAAGCTGTGACTATATCGGAGTTGGAGAATCTTTTCTAAATTTGAATATTTAGCTTAAAATGTTTCAGTTTCGTTTAGAAGTCACCTCCATGTGTTAAAGAAATATGCGTGTAAGGGCTATACACTAAAATGCGAATTGCGTGTTCGAGTCTAACAGAAGTCGAAGTGAAATTTTTTTTACTAAATATCAGAAAGTTTGCAATTCGGCTTAAAATATGTATTTATTTATCATTGTCAATAATTCCTGTTATAGTGAATACATCACAATGGTTATAATAAGTCGTAATAAAACATAAAAAAGCCTAATTGATAGCAATCAATAAGCTCATTGCTTTGTGAAAATACATTACAACTAAGAAATATTTTTAAAAAAGAGAAAATAAATAAGAAAAAAGTACAATATAAATGCCAAGCAATATTACACAAGCAAAATACAAAATATGGCAGAAGAAGTCAAGACAACATAACGCCTTAAAATGTGTGGAAAATTAAAATTTAAAGGAGTGGCCATGAAAACATAATTCCTCTTTTTGACATATGGTCATTTTTAAACATAAACATCAGGGTAATCCGAGCTAGGAATTGGCCATCTTACATTCATTGCATAAAGTCTCAGGCCTTCTAATCAATTGCCCATTCATTCATCTGCAGAGCTATAGCCAATCTCTATCCACATCTAACATTTAATCAATTGTATCCCAGAGCACACTGCATGGGGGGAAAGGAAGTCTTTATTAACCCTTTAAAAATCAGAGCTGTAAACAATGAATTCTTTTAAAGATACATGATTCACATGTTGACTAAATTATTAACAGGCAATATGAATCACATTAAACACATGAGAATTACAAAAATGGGTTAGTTGTAACAGTAATAACAGAATCTAGAAACAGGAAGAAGGAGTCAATTAACCTTCTAAAAGGACACAAGGGGTAAGAAGAAGAATATCACTGCTTTCCTGCTTCTCCTCTGGCAACAAATGGTCACATTTACAAGTCTCTAAACCAGAGAGAGATAGAATTCTGCATCTGAAATGGATTAACTCACAAACAGGGCACGCACAGGGTTGATTTGGGGAAGAGTTTAACTGTACGAGTGCCACATGGGCAGCACACTCATTGCTTTGTAGTCTGTTTTGTTAGTTGTTTCTCATTTCCTTGGCATTTAGTGGATGTTTACCAAGGCTAAAATCTAGATTAATCAAATAAAATGAACTTGGACATGAGTTCTAATTTTCTACCTAAATTACTATGTTACTGTTGCTATGTAACATTGCGGTGAATATATGCATATGTGGGTTACTCCAAAATGAACGGTTTCCTGGACAGTTAACTTGTTCTGCATGCTAATGGTGTTGCATGAAAAGTGCTTCCCAGTATTATGTAGACTGAATATGCAGAAGGAGGGAGGAATTGCCTTAATTCACTGGTTTTCCTTGCCACATAGTGCTGGCCATCAGCAAGAGAAACGGTAATAGGAAACCATGGAGGATCTGGCTACCCTAAGTAATCAGTAGGTAGATCAGCTGTGATAAAACTCAAAGTCCCATACTGCCCTACAATCCTAATAAAAGAAGCTTGTAGCTGGCTGAGCACTATGGGGTTTGTAGACTATTGAAGTGATATGGGTGCCATCTCCCTATATAGTTTTAACCCTGCAAGTGACAATATTGCAGGGTTTAAATATCTCTAGTGGCTGCCACTAGCACTATTTTATTTCAATCAGATGGTTTCATAGAGGCAATATGATTGGCACAGCACTGCGGTTTGCTGAGCATGCGCTCTGGCCTTTCATGGCTTTACTATGGGAAAGCATTGGACTGGCTGAGATCATTGATCTCGATCTAAGCCAAGGAGACAGAATGTATTCATAAAAAGAAAAAATGTATTAAAGGGACACTATAGTCACCCAGACCACTTCAGCTCAATGAAGTGGTCTGGGTGCAATGTCCCTAAGGTTTTAACCCTTCAGACGCAAACATAGCAGAGAAACTGCTATGTTTACATTTGTTGCTAATCCAGCCTCTAGTGGCTGTCTTCCGGACAGCCACTAGAGGTGCATCTGCGACGCTGGAGGCACATTTCGCCTCCATCACGCAGAGTGTCCATAGTAAAGCATTGAGAAATGCTTTCCTATGGACACTTTGAATGCGCGCGCGGCACTTGCCACGCATGTGCATCCGGCTCCGCTGACGTCAGCGGGGGAGGATAAGCTAAGCTGCTGAAGGGTTTTACAGCGCCATGGGAGGGGGATCCTGAGGGTGGGGGCACCCTCTGGGTACTATAGTGTCGGGAAAACCGCTTTGTTTTTCTGACACTATAGTGATCCTTTAATAAACAGAAAAATATCATTCTGCTTTTAATTCATATTTCTCACAATCCAGGGATGTTTAATTTTACAAGAAATCTTTATTTAATCCATCACAATGGCAATAAACTTACAATTTGTATTGTGTAATTGACTATAATAGTAACTGGCAAGAACTGACAAGGAGATTACATATTGTACAGCGCTACGATATCTGATGGCGCTGTATAAATAATAATAAAATAATAATTACATAGATAGGCCAAACTGAGCTGTAAGTGTGGACTACAGATGCAGTTTGTTTTTCCCCAAATGGACTAAAAATTATTATTTTTTTAAATTACTTTCCATTGCCCACTCCACCCAAGTGTTAAAACAGATGCAGAATATTTTTAATAGCTAATCGTATAAATAGATTTTATTGTTAAAATTAAAGTGGTTGTGCAACACAGGAAGTCCATTGCTTCCTTTGTGTCAGTGATAACTTGCATGTAAAACAATCTTATCTTTCACTGTTGGCTATATCTGCTGGCACATGGTCTGAGCACAGAGTCTGATCTACAGTCTCCCAGCCCATTTGTTACTGTGACCAACGGAAAATTCACAAAACTGTACTATGACTTATTTAGAGGGGGCAAGTAAGGCACATTTAATTTATGGGGTAAAAAAAAAAAGAAAGAAAAAAAAAGGTAAATTCAAATAAAAGAAATGGACAAATAAATCCCATAGAAAGTAACAGTGCTGTTAATTTCCCCACAATGCGAAATGTGTTCATTGTGCAGTGCATGAAAAGTGCTGGCAGGTTGTATGCAGCATTCATACATTTCAGAAACCCAAAGACCTAATCAAGGAGGTTCCTTTGGGCAGACTTCCTTCCTGAAGTATGTGAATCCTACAAAGTGGAGGACAGCACTTTCTTACAATGCAGCATGGCAATAGCTAAAAAGTGCCCTGTGTGCTACAGAAAAGGGCGGTTTATAGACAATGCCAGCATAGATTTTTTAACTAGTCCATCACCGGCACAACACAACATGGGACTGCTGCAGAACATCTTGAAAATGGAACAGGCAATCAACATTTGGCTTAAACCCCTTCAGTGCCAGAAACAGGTAAACCCCTTGTCATTCTGACAGCCCTCACTCACCCTGAAAAAGGTTAATAAAAAACTAAAGTGTAAATAATGACAGTCCCCACTGACCCAGAAAAGGTTAATAAAAACCAAATTATAGTGTAAATAATGACAGCCCTGCTTCAACAAGGTGATTGCAGTGAGATGGCTCCCACTTTGACAGCTGGCAATAACCCATTGGTGTCCTAGCTGGTCCTCAGCTCATGATGGACTACAATTTCCATAATTTCCTGAAAGGCATTAACAAGCAGAGAATTATGGGAAATGTATGCCAGCAACAGCTGGAGGGGATATTGGATTCCCCCTACTCTGGTCTACTCAACAGCAATACTAGTGACATATCTCTCCAGGCCAGGTTTTATCAGTATTTTATTGGAGCAGAATGGGGAAATGCCTTAAATATTGGGACACCTATAACAATCTAATACTCCATCAATAATCCACAAACTGCTGTGTACATTCTATGTTTGGAATATGGGGGCATGCAGCATAGACAATGTATCTGGCTTTTCACTTACATCTGATACATGACCTCATTGAGGAACACACCGTCCACCAGAGCCACATATTCATCTAGCAGGGTCCCATTGCCTTTTACCAGGGCTCCAAATGTCTTAATCTGGGGAGAGAGAGAAAAGGGTCAGGGATAAGACTCCGGCATGGAATCAGCCAAGGGAGCATTAATCAAGGCAGACATTACTCACCCAGATCACCAGAGGACTGGCCAGAAAATTTTCCAGGACTGGAGCAAATATTTCGTTCTCCATTTTCTCCAAAAATCCTTTTATTTATTTTCCCTGGATTTAAATCATGAAGGGAAGTAAAAACCGCTAGAATTCCTTATCCAATAGACGTATCCAGGCTCCAGGATGTGGTAATGCCATTTGGAACAATAAAAATGCAAAATCAAGAAAAATAGAAAATATCTCCCAAAATTGCCAACACTTGTGGAAATCAGCCAAGGTTGAAGCGAGAGAGCCCTTAATAAATAAGATACATTGTGATTCTGATTGTGGCTCTGGTCCCCTCCCTCCTGTCTCTGCAGAGGTGCTGCTAGGCAGGGGTCTGCATGCAGTACAAGGGGGGAGGCATCATCTGGAGGCTGGGAAAGGGGGAGGCTTCAGCAGAACACTGGGAAAAGGGGAGGATGTGAAGAAACAGAGGGAGTGGAGAAAAGTGGGAGAAAAAGGAGTGGAACTCCAATCTTCCCTGGCTCAGGAAGGAGAGGAGAAAAAAAATAAAAATTAAAAAGCAGCAACATTGAGGCAAGCGCAGTGTGGACTTAACCAGGGGCTAGTGCTAGCCCAGTCAATGATAGCATTCAATCCTGGCTCCTCCTATTCTACACTATAGCTGCCTGAGCCCTGGCATGGGAGTGCCAGCATGAAGGCATAGGGGCACAGACCTGGATAAAACAAAGGCAATAGAGCTACTGTATCTTATTACAGGAGCTGCATCCATCCCCCACCCTTTCCTGTCAGTGCTATTTTATTAAGTCCGTTATATTATACAGTGGAGTAGATTTTATTTATTCTTTACAATTTCTTCTCAGTATAGCACAAGGTGTCAGATTTTAGCCAGTAACCCCCCACATTCTGCAGTGTCTGTCAAGGCAGGCTATGGAAGGGTTAAGTCCAGTCTTAGAATGGGTTAATGCAATTTGCAGACCCACCCCTTCCCCTCTGGTGGGTCCACAGACAGACATTCCTATATAGGCAGCTCCTGGACTGAAATACAGATTGTGGATTCATTTCCACTAGACTTCCCCCCACTCTCACAGGAGCATGTGTAAGAAAGGGGGGGATAATGTGTGAGACTGCTCATCATGGGTCTGAACAGCTATACAGTGTTAGCCAATATCACAGGGAACAGGAAAGGCTGCCATGTACCCCTCCCCCCAAAACTGAATCGACCTTAGCCGTCACAGGCAGGGGAGCATCTACTGCTTGGCCAGGAGCAATGATATTAACCCATTAGACCATCATTGCTTAGCCAGGAGTAATGTTATTAACCCATTAGACCATCCACTGCTTAGCCAGGAGTAATGTTATTAACCCATTAGACCATCACTGCTTAGCCAGGAGTAATGTTATTAACCCATTAGACCATCACTGCTTAGCCAGGAGTAATGTTATTAACCCATTAGACCATCACTGCTTAGCCAGGAGCAATGTTATTAACCCATTAGACCATCACTGCTTAGCCAGGAGTAATGTTATTAACCCATTAGACCATCACTGCTTAGCCAGGAGTAATGTTATTAACACATTAGACTATCACTGTTTAGGCAGGAGTAATGTTATTAACCCATTAGACCATCCACTGCTTAGCCAGGAGTAATGTTATTAACCCATTAGACCATCACTGCTTAGCCAGGAGCAATGTTATTAACCCATTAGACAATCACTGCTTAGCCAGGAGTAATGTTATTAACCCATTAGACCATCCACTGCTTAGCCAGGAGTAATGTTATTAACCCATTAGACCATCACTGCTTAGCCAGGAGCAATGTTATTAACCCATTAGACCATCCACTGCTTAGCCAGGAGTAATGTTATTAACCCATTAGACCATCACTGCTTAGCCAGGAGCAATGTTATTAACACATTAGACTATCACTGTTTAGGCAAGAGTAATGTTTTTAACCCATTAGGCCATCACTGCTTAGCCAGGAGTAATGTTATTAACCCATTAGACCATCACTGCTTAGCCAGGAGCAATGTTATTAACCCATTAGACCATCACTGCTTAGCCAGGAGTAATGTTATTAACCCATTAGACCATCACTGCTTAGCCAGGAGTAATGTTATTAACACATTAGACTATCACTGTTTAGGCAAGAGTAATGTTATTAACCCATTAGACCATCCACTGCTTAGCCAGGAGTAATGTTATTAACCCATTAGACCATCACTGCTTAGCCAGGAGCAATGTTATTAACCCATTAGACCATCCACTGCTTAGCCAGGAGTAATGTTATTAACCCATTAGACCATCACTGCTTAGCCAGGAGCAATGTTATTAACCCATTAGACCACCCACTGCTTAGCCAGGAGCAATGTTATTAACCCATTAGGTCATTCACTGCTTAGTCTGGAGTAATGTTATTAACCCATTAGGTCACTCACTGCTTAGCCAGGAGTAATCTTATTAACCCATTAGACCATCATTGCTTGGCCAGGAGTAATGTTATTAACCCATTAGGTCATTCACTGCTTAGCCAGAATCAGATCCAATGTTATTAACCCATTAGGTCATTCACTGCTTAGCCAGGAACAGGAGCAACGTTATTAACCCATTAGGTCATTCACTGCTTAGCCAGGAGCAGATCTAATGCTATTAACCCATTAGACCATAATGGATTAGCCAGGAGTAATGTTATTAACCCATTAGGTCATTCACTGCTTAGTCTGGAGTAATGTTGTTAACCCATTAGGTCATTCACTGCTTAGCCAGGAGTAATGTTATTAACCCATTAGACCATCATTGCTTGGCCAGGAGTAATGTTATTAACCCATTAGGTCATTCACTGCTTAACCAAGAGCAATTCCAATGTCATTAACTCCTTAGACCACCCATTGCTTAGCCAGGAGCAGGAGCAACGTATTAACCCATTAGATCATTCACTGCTTAACCAGGAACAGATCCAATGTTATTAACCCATTATGCCATTCACTGATTAGTCAATGCCATGATAAACATATTCTCTGATCGTTACAGAATTTAATTAAGCAATTTCCAAGTCATAATTATTTCTGAATCCCTTTTTTGTACTGTACAGTAAAGATACAGCTATTCTGTGTATATACATAGAATAAAGTATATAGTTGAGCCAGTTATTCAGGTGAAAATAATTCAGCCTATTCTATATAGACCATAAATAATGCACAGATATGCACAAACTGTAGCTTTATACTGTACATTATACATAATATATAGGTGAAATATGGAGCTATGCAGCACCACCAAGTGTTTATATGAAGTAGTGCGCAGCTTTCAAATGTCAATTACTCACTACAGCTGGGCATTTGGGGAAATCAAAGTAATTTGCAGATTTTAAGCCAAAATAGTCAAACAGAACACAAAGCTGACTTTTTCCGCTCCAATTCCGCTATTATTGCCTAAAATGTTTAATTTACTTTGAATTTGCTAAATTCATACTTCAGCGTACCACCCTGGGGTTCATTAGCTCAACCCCAAACTGTAGCAAATGATAATGCAAATGGTAAAATTTAGCATCTTGTTTTTAAGTGCTGGGAGAGCCGTTATTTTTTTTTTTTTTCAAGCCATGTAGAAAGGGTTGATTTCAGCCTCTAGTTATCCTCCCAAAAAGGAACTCCTTTCAGAGCTATTCACTAAACCACAAACTGTAAAGAACTGAGATGAGATCTCCATCTCACCTAAAATTTACAACTCCTTTGTTAATTCTTTAGAAGTTCCGGTTTGCCTCTGTCAGAATTAGGGTTGACTTACCCAAAATTTAGTACTGGATAAAAAAATCCTTCCTATTGATCAGTAGGACTGGATTAGGATCAGGGGAGTTACAGTGCACAGCCTCTTAAAGGCCGATGCCCATCAACCTTAAATATCTCAATGATACAGACCGGCTCTAACATAGTCCCAAGCATAACCTTCCCGCTAACATGTTTGGTTGATGTAACACTCAATATTTAAAACTACTGAGCGTTTATTCCCTAGACTACACATTTTTTTTCTGGATTGACAACATTTGAAAAAAATAACAAAATTTCAGACGGATTAGCAATCTTCACATTTACTAAACGCAAACCCTGGTGACATTTGGTCACTGGTCACTGGGAATTTAAGGCCAAAACAGAGAAAGTGAAAACAGAATTGGCTTGGAGAATGTTTCTATTTTGGGTAATTATGACCTTCATTTAAAACTCACTTATAAATCAAACTTAATTTCTGGCAATTCTCACTTCAGTGAATAACCCTGTTAGAATGAAAATGCAGATCTAATTCAGCGTCTGCTTTAAATTGACGAGTTCGCAAATACTCTGGGAATTAACTAATGTCAGAATTCAAACTAAATTTCAAGATTACGGACGAAGTGGCTGAGCTGGGCGTACACTTAGAGAATATATTCAGTTTGGCCATGTTTACCTTCAATTTGAAATTAGCTTTGAATTCTCCCTTTAGTGAATAACTCTTGTGTGTTTCCCATCATTATTTTATGTGACCAGAAAAGCATTGTGGATACGACATCCCTATAGACACATACTTATTGGGAACGTGAATTGTGCTGCCCTGTAGTATATAGCATTCATACAACGCAGACTTACTAAAACATATGAATGATAGATACATTTGGGTATAACTTTTCACGTGCTCCCCATTAATATGTGTCTAGGTGTAACTGGTTAGTTAAGTCCCAAAACAACTGCTATGAGTAATTCTCTGATTTCACACCTGGGAGCATATTCTATACTGCTGAAAAGTCTCACCTTATGCAATGCAGGATTCACATGTCCGAAAGTCAAAAGTGAATTTTAGAACTATCTCTTTAGCTCTTTCTCACAGGTCTGGAAGCTAGGAGGGGTTAGCAGCGTCTCTCTTTAAATGTATGTATATGTAATTATTCTCAATTAATACTTTTTCACTTGTGTATTCAGTAATACATTTATTTTTACTAATTCACTTAGTTAGGAAACAGAAGGCCCAGTTAAGCGAATCATGTCGAAGTCTGTATAGCTTCCTAGATATTTTCCAGACTGAACCTCTGAATAGCTTTCAGATAATATATTTAGAAGTAATTGCATTAGACCTAATTGCTTCTTTTCTATATGCCCAGATTTTCACGAACACTTGGATTAATAGTGTATGTTTTTAAACACATAGAAAAAAATAATCAGGGAAAAGGCACCATACGACATGGATGTACCCAAGATAAAGCAGGAGAATATTACAAAAATAAGAGAACCTATTTTATGATATAGGACACAACTTCTGGAATAAAAGGGAATCATGACGGAATATTTCAGCAGGACTCTGCACGTGAGTTGCCTTTAAGGGGCAATGAACAAATTATTTCACAACATTATAACGCTCTCTGCAGTGGCGTAACCAGAACAAGAGTTTGTGCCCCCCTCATAACCTCCCAGCCCCCATACACCCTGTCCCTCTGGTTGCAAGGCTTGTTTAACACATGTAAAGACTGTAGTATATGTTAATAAAGTGCATTACATTTTGTATGAGTAAACACATCTTAATGCAAAAGA